TGGATTTCTATACGCGATCGCGCGTCAATGGGCGAAGAATACAGGTAGCAGTGCATCCTCTGATTCGCGAATAGACGGCACCTGCGGCGGTCGCGTAAGCGATAAGAGTTCCAGGTGTCGGTGCCAATGTCAGCGCTGAGTTATCGTCTCGTTGTTTGCCACGGAGTCGAGCCACGTTTCGCCAAAGGCGCTCGAGGTGGACGAACGAGGGCGGAACGAAAGCCAAGACGACAAAGACGAGTCGAGCTTTCAAAAGGAGAGAACCAAACGAAGGAATCGAAGTAATTTTATTCGACGAGGAAGAGACGCCGCCCCGTCATCCTGCCCGATGAGATTTTTAAATCCTTCAAAGACTCTTCCGTTGGATACTTGCCTTCGATATCGATGATCGTGTAACATCGAGTCAGACTCGTGTTTCAAATTACTGTATTTATACCTGCCTACTCGTAAATTGACAAGCGTTTTCTCGCGATAAATCATTACTAGAAACGACAGCGATAAATCGATAAAGATGTTTATTAAAAGAGATAAGTCGGTGAGATAGAAAAATGGGTTGGAACGGAAGAAGGAAGTAGAAGGAAACGGAGGTAAGAATAGAACGAGCCGCGAGCATTTGCTGCGACAGTAGTTGCAGTACGAGAAGAGTTGCCTAATGATTCGCTAACGAGATACGTGCTCGGTTTGTTTCGTACAGAAACGAAAGAAAAACCGGCTACCTTAAGAATAAGAGAGAAGGTCTCTTCCTCTCGAGACTCTCTGCTATCCCCTTCTCCGCCATCACCGCCACTGTCGAGCTTCGTCTTTGTCTTTATCTCGTCTTTTTCCCTTTTCCCCATTTTCCTTTAACCCTTTACCACCCATTCTCTTCTTATTTTCATCACACTCGCAAAAGAGTCTAAGCGTCCACCGCTGTATCGTCGCATCTTAAACGCGTCGTTTCGTCTGTTCGCCGTAGATCGTTCCCTGCGGACTTGGATCGTACATTATTTCGATTTTATTATTCGCCGTCGCGTACTTTGGAAGGGCTGGCGTGAAAACGACAAAACTCGAGACGTACGATACTCAAACCGTGTCGAATCGAGTCGATGTAAAAGGGAAATATAGCGACGAGTGGCGGAACGGCAGCCTTTGCGTACGCCGGTTTTTCCCGGATGCATCGACTTTTCTCTCGATCTGGACTAGTTTTATTTCCGACCGCTTTACCTCCGAACTCTTATTTACGTGTCGCCGGAAAAGCATTCTCGTGTCTCGACATCGGCGAGACCCTCGCTGACTCCGCGCCTACACAGATATTCCGATGCCTCGAGTCCCTTCGGTCGCGATTCCATTAAAACCTTGCCAACTGGGAGCCTTCGCGAATTTATCGAGCCGATCTTCGCCTACGAATATTTATGAGTCGATCGACCAACCGTGAAACGTGCCTCCAAGACTCGCGCGACGCAAAGTCGTTCCCCTCGGTGATATGCCCGCGTCCAACTATTGTTTATATTTTTTAAGTTGTCGGGTAAGACCAACGAATTCAGGAGAACGCATACGATCTCGTCTTTGAACTGCATCCGTAGCACGGCGTGGAACTTGGTAGAAAAGTTTTACGGGATATCGCTCGATCGAGAATGTTAAAGTTTTTCCGCGAAATACCGCGGAGCTCGTAATTTTTTCCTCGGAATCCGTGCCCGAGGAAATCGATGTAAATCGCTTGGCGCGCATACCCTCGGTATACGTACTTACATATACCGTCTGATCCGCTGAGTTATTTCACCGCAAGATATCGAGTCGCTGCATCCATGTAAACGTAACCGACGCCCATTTCCACGTACGGCCGTCTATGTATGCATGCATGCACGTATATACGTTGGAATAAATAGATACGCGGAGTCGCAATCGGAACGTCGCGGTGATCTTTCCTTTTATCGGTATCGCATTCGGCTGGAAATGTCTGTCGCGGTGAAATTTACGATATGATATATTTAATTACACTGTCCGACAGGATGTTGCGTTATACAGCGGTCGACTGTATTTGAATCTTTGAGAGTCAAAGGAATCGAGTGGACTTCGATAGCTTTTAAATTTCTATCTCCGTCGGATAAATGACGAACGTCGACCGCTATGACCGATAGGCAGCCATTAATATTTTTGCGAGCGTCGTTCCGCGGACACTCGCGATTCGTATTCATCTGTCACGCCGCGTGCAGGGTAAAAGTGATTTCCTGTCGGTGATACGTCTCGACCGCGACATTACGCAATCTCTGCCGCGTTCCACGTTCCAATTTCGAAACGATCGATGAGTCGCCAATTAGCAAAATAAATCCCTTTTGTCCCAATCCGACTGCTTGTTCGAGTCGTCGCGTATCACGCGTCGCATCGAAAATTCCATAAATTATTCCGAGCAATCGTGTTCGGTGCGCCTTGCGTATCCGTAATAACGACCTCCTATGACGAATTCATTCTGTCCTCAAACATTCGAAGCAAACTGTTCGTACAGTTTCCATTTATATAGCTGTTGCGACCACGTAGGTACCTGCATGGACGCGCGAAAGTATTTCAACGACGACACATTTATAATTAAAATGGATACGAATCGTACGCTGGATGTTTTAAAATTGCCGCATATACCCGCGTATAGGGAACAGATAAATATTTATTTTTCCAACCGCGTACGAGTTCACGAGCCTTATCCTATTATTTACAAACAGCACGGAGACGATTAAACATTCAAATATGAATTCGACGGACAGTCTGCCGTGAAGCGTTGCGTGCGTCGCGGCCAGGTTTATTATAATAGATTCATTTATTCTGGTATTCGTTCCTTCTACTTTGAAGGACGCGACAAAAGAAGAACCGGCGACGGCAGTCTACCGAGAGTTTCCGGTAACGAAGTTTAAAAATGCGTCTCTAAGCCAGAGCTTTTCGCTCCTTCTTCTTCCTGTTCCGCGGCTTTTAAAAGGTCTAAAATATGGTGGAACTTTTTAAACCACCGTCGACCGCTATGAACGACCATCGCATTCCGACTTTCACTTCCATTCGTCTTCTTTCGTCCTCGTTTCCCGAGCAAGTAAAATGTTTCCCAAAAGTGGCCGGGATTTTGCATCGCGTGACGTCACGAAACTGAAGACCAAGACGAACATTTACGACAATTCGTTGCTCGTGGACCGTTTTCTGCCCGGTTTCCTACCAATAGAAAATTCAAGCGGACCGTAAAACTTACCAACAACGCGTGCGCTTGAAATTCATCGCTAAAATGAGTCGATTTATTGCGTTCCGATATTATAGCGCATAAAAGACAGAAAAGAAGCCCGATACGGGGTCGTAAAATTTAGTGCAGAACGAACCTTTGAAACTTGTAAAAAGAAAAAAACATTTATTCGTGTCGACCGACGTTCCAGCGTACGTACACTCCTGCTCATAAGTAATTGGACGGTTATCATATTTTTATACGAAATCGTAGTTTAATAAACCGTATACAAGAGGATTATTCTTCGAATAATTTTTTATTATTACAGTATCGATTTCATCGGTCTTACATTGCATAATTGTCCATGATCTAGTACTTTTATTTGAAACTGAAGCGGTCCAGTGACTTATGAGCGGGAGTGTAAGTGAATGTATTCGATCGAGAGTATACTATACGCTCACGCATCTACGAGGATATAACAACAACGTAGCGAAGAGTAATTGAAGGATGTAGGTGGACATCGGTTTTCCGCGGTGGCTGTTCTATGAAATATACAACGTGCCCACCGGCTACGTACCTAGTTATGGCTTTGTACGTACAAAAATCGACGAACGAAACACCGCTGTTCGCAAGATCGATGCGTTACTTTTATTCGTCGTTCGTCCGTCCAATTTCTAGATCGTTTCGACAACGTTACCATGTACCCTGCTAAAAATACGCAGAAACCGTGAAACTACGAGAATCTTTTTATGCTTCTTTTCCAATAGACCGTCGAGCATTTTGCAACACGGCAAAAAAGATAGCGTTCGTTGTATCGTTACGACAGAAATTATTATATGCCGCATTCGTAATAATCAGATTTATCGAGAAATCTTAAATCAAACAGTTTCTTCTCGCAGTCCCTGAAGAATAAAATGGAAAATTCGCAACAGCTCAGACCGGAAGAACCTTTACCGCGTTGGAATCATCTTAATGAGATTGTCGCGAAGAGCGGCGACGAAAGGAACGCCCGTTAATAAAGGAACAGAAGGGCCGCGAGAGAGCATAACAAAGGCAAACGCAGCATTACGCCGAATAAGTAAAAGGCTAATGACAAGGGCTCGAATAGAAATAACAAACGGACCCCGAGATCCAAGGTTTTAAAGAAAGAACGAATCGAAGGAATCCCTCCGCCTCCGGTGCGATTCCATTGACTTACTAACGTCGGAAAATCTTGAAATTGCAAATTCCCGTTGCTCCTTTCCGAATCTCGATAAAATACAGCAAAGTCCGTGATTCTGTCGTGTCGTACATACTACGAACTTGGCTTCTTTAGCGGTTTCCGATGAAACCGCTCCTATACCTACTTACGTAGGCCATGAGATAAAAGAATATGTGCATCGTGGAAGGTTGTTTTAAATAATTTAACGAGTACGTTAGAATTAGGATCTCGCTCCAATGTCGGTCAAAAGACACCTTTTACAATTTCCCGTTTCATGTGTTTCAAATCGTTCTGGGAAAATTATTTTCGGTTGCGGGGGTCAATTACAATCATTTTTGTGAATACACATACTTCCGAGAATCCTGCGCGCTTTCGAGAAAAAAATTCTTTACTTAATTCTTAAAATTTCTGTGTGGCCGGAAATGTTTCTATAACTTTGTAACGAAGTCTCGATCAACAAATTAGCATCCGTGATTTTCGTCTTACTTTTGCCTCTAGAATCACCCATTAAAATTGTTCCCATTTACTATGACACAGGTTCTTCCGTTCTTATGCACGATCCTGGTAAACGAGCTCGACGCACAAGAAGGGACGCGAGTAGGGGAATTTGAAGTCGCCTAAACTCATACCAACCAACGCCCTGTTACTTACGCGCGTATAGTAAAAGTGCAGCAGACGTAGTGATTGCATGAAAATTTATCGAGATGACAGTCATGAACGCAATCGCGTGTGTTGTCTCTTTAACGTTATTGTTTACGGTGATAGGTGAGCAAAGATCCTTACAAACAGCGATCGTTCGGCTGTAATATTAAATAGACTGTAGTGGAAATTTATTCGTGAAAACTCGCACGAATACCACGTTGGAAACGGAGTGTACATACTTGTTGAATTTCCAAACAAACATTCGCGAAGAATTTGTAACAAATACTTGAACTAATGGTAACGGTAGTGAGCATATCGAAACGAAATACAACGTTAGGCTATCGGTTCTGCACAATTTTAGGTTATAACAATTAGTCCTGCCCTCGGTCGAAAGTTTCACTCCATTGGAATAAATTTTAGGTACCGATGCAATTCGCTGCTATCAGTGTAGTAGTAATACAGATCCCAAAGGCGAAGATTTATGCGGGGCGTATCAAAAATTTGACAAGGAAAAGAATATTGCCATTGAATGCAACAGCGAAGAGTCTCACATGCCCGGCACGTTCTGCATCAAAGTGACCCATCAGAGTCCCCGTGGATTCATTTGTAAGTTTTCCCTTTTTAAATCGACCGTTTCGATGCTCTCGTCTATTCTCGCTTAACGTTAAACGGCCGTTACGCTTTTCTCTACTTCCGGAAACATCAATCCACGCGATCATTGTTTCCATCTCGTAAGTTTATTATTTGGGTTAATTTTTAAAGGGAACGGTAGATGGCGACAGGTAATCCGTCGATGTTCGTCCGTAGCCAGTACCGGAGTAACGGGCGTTTGTAATTGGGGAGTTTACGACAACGGGGTTTATTGGGAAGAATGTTCCTGTTCGGAGGATTATTGTAACGAAGCAACAACATTATCGTCATTCTCGATGATAGTTATGTTACTTATTGGTATTACAACATGTACATTGCCGTTAAGATAAGTGTATCAGCTAAGTGAGTATTCTAGTCTAAACGTCAATTGTTTATAAGTTCATTGGGATTAAAAACTGTACCACTTTTTCAAGAACCGTTTCCTTTTTAAGATGTTGGACGAAAATACTCCCTTAACGTTTCCGTCCATACTATAGTACAATTTATCGATATAGTTAGAGTATTCACTTTATACTTTTAAAAGCTCGACTTGTATTATTAATATTCTGACATTTTACCATTTTATATTAAACGATTAAATGTTTAACACGAAGTTAAATAATTAAGAAGCTCGATTTTAAATATCGAATAAATAAACGATATTTCCTAATGTGCCGTTTTTGAACCCGTGCTAATGTACATCCTATTAATTGATCCAAGTATAAACGAAATAAATAAATGCGCTTAATGTTCCCCAACGTACATTTATACATATAACGAAGTAGGGAAGATCTCGGAATGATTTACAAGGATTCTAGGCGCTGGAAATTCAACGGCCGCCGGTTAATTATGTCAGGCGAGATTATTAAAGCTTTAGCGGATCCGACACTGTGAAATACACAACGACTCGACTATTTAGACCCTTCTATAGGTATACATACTATACTATAGGTATTCATAACCTGTATTTCAAACATACGCACCCATGTGAGTACCCGTCAGTGTCCGGTATTATTCGTTGTTCGAAATAAATTTTATTCAAGACTGACCCGTGTATCTGGCGAATTCAGTAATTCGCTACTTTGTATTCTAGCTATATACAGACAGAATTATGAATTTAATTACAAAAAACGAACTGGAACAATTACTTTTATATCTTTAAGAAAAAAATAATAAATTTTGTGGTGAAATTACGCGTGAATTATAATCTCATACGCGTATTAAATTAATGGCTCTACTTATTTATGAAATAACATTAGGATAAAAGATAGTCCGTTGGTGGTTCACGGTTTCACCAAGCTTAATGTTATAGATAAGAGCCCCTCTTCATCAGAGGTTTTAGCCGTTATTACATCAAGGCGCGTGTAATTAACTTGCACAAGATGGGATATACTCTTCGAGCGTATTCTTCGTCGGTGTATTACTGTAATACCGGCGTTTCATTCATACAAGAAGTAATAATTTTATTTCAAGCGACACGCAACATATAAAAATAAAATTGACTGACAAACCAGAAAAAGAAAATCGAAAGAAACGGAACTTTCTTGCATGAAAAACATCTGACAGTAATGTTCTAATTTAATTATGAACATGTGATTTAACATATTTGGATAATATGTTGAATTCAAGTCATATTTCGTTAAGAATATTATATTATTAGTTTTGATAATCGCAGGAATCTTGCAATATAATTTTTAATGTCTTTCGTGTATACGAATGATATGCGCATGCTCTGCTCTTTTCTCTCGCTTTGTCGTTTGCGACTGTTCTTCTCTCGGGTAACATCGAGTAAAAGTTTTAGGTGTATGGCAAAGTAGCATAATTTGCACAACATGGATTAATGCTTTACATAAAGAACGTATTAATTTTTAAGTGAATATTAAAGAAATAAAGATAAACGATGAATGTCGCGGGCGGAGTTGGATATACACGATCAGAGGTATTCGTACTTGTGGCAAGAACATCTATTTTTGCGGCTATTGGATTTTTTAGCATGAAATGGATTTTAAATCAATTGGATCCCACGATCACAGCAAAAAAGAGAGCCAAGGAAAGGGTTAGAAATTTACCATTCTGCGTATTTTAGAATATTTTCTTATATAACCTGTACAATCCATCGAATAAGAAAATAACCTTATTCTTTACATGCTTGCCATGAAAATACAAAAAAGCATGACTTTGGATAATGTTTAGGCACGCGAGCAGTTACAAAAATTGACCAAAATGGATAATCTATTATGGTCAGTAGACCCGGACCAGTTGACAGATTATGAAATGATGATAGCAAACCACATAGTGAATCCTGGAGAGATTAGAGTTTCATGGGAGAATATTGCAGGTCTCGAAAATATTATTCAAGAACTTAAAGAAACAGTTATATTACCTATACAACGAAAAGAATTGTTTGAAGGCTCTCAATTAACTCAGGCACCGAAAGTATGCATATAATGTATATATTATTAAGGAGTTCTTCTTGTAACTTGGATTTCATTCATAGGGGGTATTGTTACATGGGCCACCAGGTTGTGGTAAAACAATGATCGCTAAAGCAACTGCCAAAGAAACTAAAATGTGCTTTATTAACTTAGATGTAAGCATTTTGACTGATAAATGGTACGGAGAAAGTCAAAAACTAACTGCAGCAGTATTTTCACTCGCTGTAAAATTTCAACCATGCATCATCTTTATCGATGAAATAGGTTAGTTGTGAAGAAATTCAGAATATAGACTTTCATTATGATACATACTGTTTCACAGATTCGTTCTTAAGAACCAGAAATTCACAGGATCATGAAGCCACCGCGATGATGAAAGCACAATTTATGTCTCTTTGGGATGGATTGATAACAGATTCATCTTGCACGGTAATAGTTATGGGTGCTACCAATAGGCCACAGGACTTGGACAGAGCAATTCTTAGACGGATGCCAGCTACTTTTCACATTTCCTTACCAGTAAATAAAAATTGAACGATAAATGTTCGTGCGCACAGTGTACATTAAATTTACAATAACTGTCTGCTTTTGCAGAAAGAGCCTCAACGAGTGCAAGTTTTAAAATTAATATTAGAAAATGAGCCAATAGACGATGATGTGGATATCTCGAGACTGGCAAATATAACGGAAGGTTTTTCTGGTTCAGATTTACGGGAACTTTGTAGAAATGCATCTGTTTATCGCGTTCGAGACTATTTGCGCACTCATACACAGTAATTATTAAGTACCAATCATTTATTGATACAAAGTTTTCTATAAAAATTTGTTTATTATCGATTCTTCTTTTTATACAGAAAATCAAGTATGTATACCGATGATGAAGAATATGATAGTATACGATCTATTATGATGGAAGATCTTCTTACATCATATAACAAGATAAGAGCATCTAAGATACATACGGGTATTCTGAGTGTATACTAATATCAATACAAAAAAACAAACCAATTAATATTAAACTTTTACATTTTTCGTTCAAATATGTCGGTGATTTTAGGTTAACTACATCAAGGGTGAAATGACACCGATGTAATGTTACTTAATCTCTAATGCAGCTAGGTAATTGAATATCAAAACATTGGGACAGTTCTTCCATAAGAACACGATATGAGATCTAAAAGTCTCAACAGTAAAAACGTGTTTAGATATATTTAAACTTCTAATTTTGTTAATTTACAATGACATTAAATTATTTCAAAAGTACATAATTGGTGCGCTAATTAACAATTTTAAAGCAAGGTTTACGCCTGTTAAATATATGTAATATACATGTAACATGAAATTGTAGAATGTATTAATTAAAAAGAGAACAACTTTATAACAAATGGGATGCAGTTCAGCCGTATATATCGCGTACATTTAACGTGATTCATAATTTTACGAAGGGTATAGAAAAGCGTGTATTTTTTAAAGATCCTTTACTGATTTGATTAAAATCGAATAAAATCTTCCTGTACTTATATTTCATTGTTACAATTTATTTATTTTTCATTTTCGCTTACATGGTAGACTAAATTTTGTTTCGCTGGAAATTCTTAAACACAAGCGTAATTTTTTTAAAATTCATCATTGTGCGCATCCATACGTATGTATTTTAAATGTATATACGTGTTCAAAATAATGTATCACAAAAAGTAAATTTTTACAAACTTTAACGTGCTATTGTTACTTGCATGGAAATGAACTATCGTACAAACGTATCGTAAAAACGTACTTAATTTATTAAATTAAACCGATACAGTACTTCATTGATTAAATTAATGATTAACAGTTGGGGCTACAACAAAGGATTAATAAAATTTTCAATATAATTTGTAAATAATAGTCACAAAGTTTCCCTTTTCCGTTTACCTTTATGGTATACTTTTTATATGTATAATTGTAGTGTGGCTGAACACATTGAGCTCAAGTATACGTATATAGTAAATAATAATTTATTGGTTGGATCAACAATTTATTAACAAATTTTAATAAAAACATGTATACTTTGTTCAGCTAGGTGATAAACGTACGTAAAGAAAGTCCTGTAACTTTCAACAGGACCGTAACCGAGAAGCACTGTGCCCCGCATAGATACCGACTCGATAGAAGTTATGTAAGTTACTATTTATGTATAATAATTACAGTTACGCAGTGTACGAATCACTAAAACAAAATATATAAAGATATCGAATAAAGTAACGTAACTAAAAATATATATAAAATTATATTTATCGACTCGATGTGCGTCGTATTTATGATACACTCTTGACCGAAGGCAGTGCACCAACCAATAAGAGTTTGTTGCAGTCACATGGTTTTGTTTACCTGAGACTTTCATCTTGCTGAATAAAATAACAAGCGAAAGAAAAGGGGTAAGAAAACATAGTGACTTCCTCTTACGAGTCATGGAATCCATGTATTATTTTTTCCAAATTTCACTTGGCCGATTTAAAAGGAGATGAAATATTTAGCCAATGAATAAACACGCAGAGAATAAAGATTATTAGAAAAGTTTGATCGCGCGGAATAAAGTAGCATCGATTACAGAATTCGTGGGGAAAGGAGATTCCTTATGATTCGGCGCGAACAATCAGTAAGTGGAAAGAAATAGCGGAAAAATATGGGGAAAAAGGAAACGCATGCGCAGAGAAAAGGATACTAAGAGAGCGTCTAAGTAGCACTGCTACTGTAGCAGCAGAAGTTTCCGGGAATGAAACATCTAAGAGTACGAAGCCTCCACAGGCCTTTACTTTTTCCCTTCTGTTCCTTTTGACCGGTGAGCTACGGCTGTAAAGTCGGAGGCGCACCGTGAACAGACGAGACCATTTTCTTTGGTACGGAGGTAAACGCGGTAACCGAACGGGTGGTAGAAAAAAGAGGCGCAATCGAGCGCGGTACGAACGCGTCATTGTGAATGGCGCTCCTAGTGACAAAGGTGGCTGCGAGAGACTTTCGATTTCATGTCGGATGTAAACTGTGCTCGAAATGGATGTTACAAAGAGTACTTCCGTTCGCTAATTAAGCGTGACTCTTTATCCATTTTTCCATTCGGTTTTACTTTGTTGGCTGGTCAACGAAGAAATGCGAGACGCGAAAAGAAGAACGACGGCAGCGGCCGGATTCCGGTACGATCGACCGTAAAATTCTGCATAGAGCATCGTGGCGTACGTTCGCAGAGTGGACTGTTCTCTGCAACACCTGCGGTGCATGATCCTATGCATTGTCGGTGAGTGTGCGTGTCACGTATGCGTGTAGCAATATACCTACGTGCTATACTTTTAACTACGTTGTCAAAGCGAGGGAGCATCATAGAGATTGCTATTGTTTCTCACGAGCGCATATGTGAGTGTGTATGTGTTCGATGCATCTGTCGAATTGCATACCCGAAAACCGCTGTATCTTCGTGATAGACCATGGATCACAGCTCGTGCTAATACTTTGACACGATTACACGATTGTGCTACTGAAACGTGATCCCTACTGTGAATGGAGCTCTTCAAACGAGTTCACTTCTCGTCTCGAGTGATTAAACAAATCTTGTCGATCATAAGGAAGCTAGACAAAACGGAACCTATGGATCTCCTGAGAAATCTTCCTCGATGTTAATGTTATTTCTTAGAAATTTACCGTAACTGGGAGTGCCGCTATAGCACGGTTGAACATGTTCCGAAAGTATTGGGCCGAATACCATGTTATACGCCAGAAAATATTGTTTCTTTACTTTTCAAAACTAGTATGATGTTTCGAACGATTTTTTTCAAGTCTCGAGGAAATCCTACGCGAACGACATGTGAACTCTTGATTAAGCAAAGCACGAATGGTGTATCAGTGAAACTGGCATGAAAATGTACCGTGGTGTTAAGTGGCCTCTGTGATATTGCGAACGGTGCTTAACCTAACTTTTTGTCGACGCTTCTACACGGCGTTTTCTTACGCGTAATGTTCTTTCGATAACGAACTCGTAACCAAGTGAACGCGATTCGCGAAAACTCTCGTTTCTTTTTCTTTCATTTTTTTTTTTCTCTTCTATGTATAGAATGTGATTCTTTCTTACCGCTTTTATGTATGTTTTTAACTTACCGTAGAACACGAGACTCTGTGATTGTAGTTTTACGAAACGCTGAAAATGTTTCTAGTTAATATTTGATTTTGATCGTGTCGTTGAACGATACGAAAATTCATTTTCCAGTATTTACGCGATCGTGTTCTCAACAATATTACATTTAACGCTTACGTTTAAATTGTAATATATGTTTATTTTCATTATTTTCCCTTTACCTTGATCGTGATTTTTCTACCACTTGCCAGTGACTATGTATAACGTATTTCTTGATAGTCGTTAGAAAGATATGGGTCAAATGTCTCATCTTTTATACGTGTGTTATATCAATTGCGATTAGCAACCCGTCGCCTGTCTTTTTATCGCTTTCCTTTAACAATGGTTTTAGGTAAGCCTGTTGTTTGATCGTCGATACTTATTGCGCGAAAGATTAGGTCGCACTGTGTCATAAATGTCTTTGGTTGCCTCGTGTTTCTGTAGCTTCTGTAGCCACAGAAATCTGTAATTATTATTTGTCGAACAGAAATGCTTGCATCGTGTCCGTCTGTGTATTGTGTCGTGCAGTGTGCTTACATTTGATCAAGTTTCACTTTTGCGTGAATTATATATTAATGTTTGCGACAAACTGGTGATGGTCATGGTGACATTAAATCTAAATTATAATCGCGTGATAAATTATTACAAATAAGAACCGAATGAAATGGATAACAGAAAGCACACATGCTCTGGGAATTGATGGGTATATGCTTTTCCTGCAGGAGACCTACAGGCAGCAGGCTAAATAATAAAATCTCAGAGCATATCTCAGCATCAGTAATACCCCTCCATGTTTGTCTGGAGGAACAAAGAGGACCAGAACTGGGCTCTTGCGAAGCCTTGGCTCGTAAGCCGCAGGTAAACTAAATTAGTTTATCTGTAAAAGAAAAGATGGAGACTCGGATAATTGGTAAATGAGCACCCTTCTTCTCTTCAGGTTAAAAAGTTATTTGAAAAAGAAGAAGCAGAAGAAAAGTGCAGGGAAGAAGTGGGGGCTGAGTTTGTTCGAATCGAGGCAGAAGATTTGAAACACAGTCAGCCGAGCATGGCCAACACTATCAGTAATATGAAAATGACTAACCGCATTAAGGGACTAGTAAGCAAACGTCGTAAGCGTTTCACGGAAGATGGTTTTGATCTTGATCTCACATGTATCCTTTTCACCGCAATTGTCGATGTTTATGTCGCGTATTACGCGTATTACGAGGCATCGAAGGTAGTAAGAACGAATTAACAAAAGGTTCGTGTCTCTGTTGAATACGTTCTTACTATCAACACGAGAACATAATTTCGTTGATACGTTCCTCAATTGTGTATATATTGCTAATAGATATAAGGGATAACTTAATAGCAATGGGTTTCCCTGCTGAAAAATTAGAAGGGGTATATAGGAATCACATAGACGATGTTGTTAAGCTATTGGAATTCAGACACAAAGATCATTATAAAATTTACAATCTGTAAGTTTCGAGCAATGCATTGCGTTTACGCGTTACAAATAAAATGAGGTAATTTCAGGAAATTTTACCTTTTAGATGTTCAGAAAGGTCTTACGACTTTAAGAAATTCAAGCAAAGGGTAGCGACTTACGCATTCGATGATCATAATCCACCAATGCTGGATCAGATCAAACCGTTTTGCGAGGACGTGCACCAATGGCTTTCTCAACACCAAGAAAATGTAGCTGTAGTTCATTGTAAAGCGGGTAAAGGTCGGACGGGCGTAATGGTTTGCTGTTACCTTCTTCACACGAAACAATTTCCTACTGCCACAGAAGCCCTTAATTATTATGGAACTAAAAGGACACACGATAGGTAATTGTAATAACACTAGGCTCTGTAATCGTTGTCGCGCGTATTTAGTCGGGTTTTACGGGTGGTATCTCTGATTCAGGAAAGGGGTAACGATACCTTCTCAGAGGCGGTACGTGGATTATTATGCTACTCTTGTCCAAGAGGGTTTGAGTTATCAACCAGTCACACTGTTATTACGGAAAATACAACTAGACCCAGCACCTATTTTTCACGGAGGTCAAGGATGTAAGAACAAACAAAATCCATAACGCTCGTTACGAAAATTAGACGCAGGATAAGGTTACATACAGTTTATTTGTAGATCTGCATTGTGTAATATCTGAATCGAAAAAGAGAATATTTAGTTCAGATATAGTGGAAGTACGAAAAGGAATGCATACTGTCTCCATTCCTTTAAAACACAGTGTTGCATTGACGGGAGATATACGCGTGGATTTCTTTAACAGACCAAAAATGAAGCGGAAGGTATTTTATTATCAGGTCTTTGTTCGACCAGAAAATGTTGTAATATCGTAATTAAAATCGATTTCTTTGCTCCGTGTGCAGGAAAAGTTGTTTCATTTTTGGTTCAATACATTCTTTGTGCGAGACTACTTAACGCCAGAATACGATAACGGAGAGTTACCAGTCGAGCGTTCAACGAGGGCATTAAGTTGTGACGGTACAACTATGGAATTACCTATGGTCGTGTCACACATGAAGCCTAGAGCAGGATCGCTGGCTAGTCTCGGACCTATGCCACCTACTCTCGTTTTAAGTATAGACAAATGGGGCTTGGATGATGCGCACAAGGATAAACATCACAAAGCGTACAGTGCAGATTTTAAAGTGAGTACATTGTTTTCATCCGCGATAAGAGCAACGGACGTCTTAAGTTTCAACAGGTACCGTTGAAATTGCAACAAATGCTGTATTCGAGTCCGCTCGTATGTTGCAGGTTAGCTTATTTATGCACCAAATGGGCGGTAGTATATCGCAAACTGTGCCAGCGACAACGAACAGAACGGGAGAGGGTATACAAATAGGAATAGGGGGACAAGAAACTCCCAGTGAATCCAGTGAAGCGGATAGCAGCGAATGCGACACAACCGGAGATACAACCGGAGATGAAGATGGGGAATCTGGTGAGTCCTCTGCATCTCTGGTGGTGAATCACCATCCCCTTACACATAGCAGTAGCCGTACACACGTTAGTACCCACCAAAGAGCTAGTCTCAGAGAAACTGCAAAGGGTTTGCTCTCGCGAGGGGATACAAGTAGAAATAGTCATCGACAAAGCACTAGTAATGTGAAATGTTCTTCGGCACTCGTACGTTCAGCCACGTTAGATACGTAGTATATTTACCTTTGTACTTAAAAGCTCAGTTCTCTGAACTGGCATTCAAGCTTTACAGGTTATGTAAAAAGAAAACACTCCATACTATTTAGCTTTTCTTTGTTATGCCAGCATGAAAAACTATTGAGCATTCGGTCAGTTGAAATGCATCGATTATTATTTTGATCGTTTGTTGTCGCATAACGTTACACGTATATCGTAAAGTTAAACGATGAATTTGGAAAAGTATAGTATATTTTTAGAGAAATTAATATAGCGTCAACGTTATCAATATACATATATATCGAGAATTTCACTAAAAACCTACTTCGTTCTCTATTCTTTCGATGAGATACATTATCGATCGAAGCTAGTTGAAAGATCGATTCTATCGATTCTATATCTGTTCAACTGAAAATTTTTACATCGACGCGCCATATATTAAATACGATCATTGAGTGTTCCGAATGAAAAATAATCGTAAAACACGATGTTAAATGTCTCTTTGGTAGCGTATATGCCACAAGTAATTTATTATTTCTGAAAATATTAAGGTATTGGAGAACTCGACTGGTTATGATTTTAAACGGAAATTATTCGGTATTTATTAGCAGTTATCTCAAAACGTACCTATACTTTTGACCTTTGTTTAGGTTCTATCTGTTTTTTATTCAACTTTCCAAGTATTTCGCTTTGTTGACTGTTAGCTATTATTGCCCGGAGTAGTTGAATTTAATATTAGATAAGAGAATTCAGAGCGTCGAAACTCGAGGTATATCGTCGGTAGCGTTAAAGCAATTTTATAATAAATAACGTACTATGTACGGAACTAGTATTTGTTTTGAAATTGTATGACAAAGCCAATTTGTAGAAAAAAAAAATTGACGCGATGATTTTTACTTGTATCGATTTCACCGTTTGTGTTTTGTGTTCTTCGTGGAATTGTGAAGGGAGGCGAGACAGACGAGTTAAGTATGCTCTGATCGCCTTTATTCCTTGTGATCGTTGACTCTTTGGAAGTAACAAAGCTAATACGCGTAGATTTGCGTGCGAAGCGAACGGTTGTGGTCGAAGCTTGTAAAATAATGTTTACATGTACAGAAAATTTCATTCTTTCGATTTTGTAACGGAAATATGTTAAATATGAACAGGCTGTGCAATTTTCTAAACATTTATTCCTTGATGTCTGGTAAATACGATTTTCACGTTGACGTCAAGGTACATTTTATTTCAAATAGATTATCGTATACTGTAGATTAAATTATCGCGACGGAAAGTATAACCCACCGTGCGTGGAAATTCAGAAAAGTATCGGTAGGATCGAGTTACGTGCGGTAAGTTAAGAAAATTAAAAGTTTTCCCGTTGTACCGGCACGCGTATATATTTTCTGATCATAAATTATTCGTTTTCATCTTTTTCTATCTTTCTTCTTATTTGCGAAAGTAATTCCTGGTACGAACGCGAAGCGGCGTAAAATTTCCATCGAATATACTACACACGGATATACATATCGAGCGATATCGTAAAATTCAGTTTTAAAGAAGCGGTCTTGAAACTGACATTTTACAGGTATTCGGACGTCTTATGTAATCGTTAGAGCTTTGTTCGTAGTTGGAACAATGCATCCGTTTATTTTTTTTTTATATTAAAAATTTTTCGAGACAAGAATCGCAATAAAGGAGACAGAATGTGCAAATATGTTTGAAGCTATAATTGTATTTCTGTCGGTTATATCGCTTCTCGAGCAGACGGTTGCTAATCTTAATATTGTTGTACATACGTGGACATTGTCACGACGTGAATACGTATACCGCAATCTGTTGATAAGTTAATTAGAGTTCAAGGTCGTTATTGTTTAAAATACGACCAACGTTTTCTCACGTATGCGTTCCTTCATCGTCTTTCGTACAGTATTGGTCCCATGGCTTGTTTTTCAATCTGCACGCGTCAAAAAGGTACAACGAAAACAAAAATTAATCTCCTTTTTGTACTCTTCTCATTTTTTTTTTATGGTAGCGTGATTTTTAAAGCAAAGACACGACCAGAAATTACTTTATACTCGCAAAGAATTTAAATTTATCGTCTTCGGATAAATCAGCTCGTTCGAAAGTGCGATAATTTGCAATTTTATATATGAATAAAAGCGGAAGGATTTACGAACATTTTGATAGAAATCGTGCGATTATTGTTACTGTTGTAATTTTGTTAGCGAGAAAGGCGCGACAGAGCTATAAAGTTCCAAACGTTAAAGAATTTTTCTTACGATCGATTAGTGCATATATCTCTGAAGCCTTTAATTATAGTGTTACAATCTCGTACGTATTAGACTTGTATATATGTAGTAAATATCGAAGTAATTGGGCAATTTTCGAAAACACAGGGGCTAGATTGTTTGGATAGTCGTTGAAAGCTGTATCTTTTGTCGATAGTTCCTTCCTGGATCTTTTACCGTCTTAGATCGTAGTACACTTGAATACGTGTAAACGGTTGTTCTCTTGACTTTAACGCGTAGTGCATGAGTACAGAAACTTTATAGGATCCTGACAATTGTTGTTGTTGACGGTAAAAAATAGAATTTTTAAACCGATCTTCTCCTTTCATCGTATCATTAGGAGTATCGAACGAATATCAAAGCCCCTAGACGTTTTAATTTTATTCTGGTTCTCGTATCGTTGCATGTTAATAGTTCATAATCGTAGTTTTCAGATCTTTGTAACGTCTGAAATATGTGAAATTGATACACAAGCATCTCTATTATGTATCGTGTAACGATTATTTTGTGATACTATTATACTTATGATTATTAATTGTACCGTTGTTATATCCTTATTCTTATTAATTATTATTATTACTACTATTATTATTATTAATTATTATTACTACCATTATTATTATTACTATTACTATTGTCGCTAATAAAGTGTTAGCGGTTTTTAAACGTAGTTCTATGTTATATATATATATATATATATATATATATATATGTATATACATACATATATATTCCTGTAACAAATAGTTTAAGGATAATATTATACACACAGATACACACACGCATACGCACATATATGCATTACAATTACAATATCGCACTAATTAGAGAGTATCTTCTTACGTCTTACGATTCTCCGTAAAAGGTAAACTTCACTTTCCGAGTTCCCTCGTTGAACATTTTTTGGTTAACTTTTTTAGTACTCACCCGTCGGTTCCCTTTCTTTTCCTCGTTTGCATTCACGAACTTGCTCTATCCCTTTTCACAGCTTTTTGGCCAGGAAACTCGCACATAGTTTGTAACGCTTTCTTAGATGTAGTTTTTCACGGTCGACTGCGAAGTATATCGGGGTCCTAAAATTTCGCTGAAATCGTCCACGGGATTGTAAAGCCACGCATTCTAAATAATAACTCGGGCAGATTATCGTTTAGGATGCGTTCCAAGCGTGGACAACATTTCCGCCTGATCAAGGATCCCCAAATATGTACATTGCAGTTGCCCCCTCGTTGGATCGAATTTAATCGCTTCGTAGAAGCTGCTATCTCGCACGGCCATTTTATTCCTCAGTTTATACGACCGTTGTTTCAGTTTCGAGTATCTTTCGTTCTTCTCGATCTCGCGAGGAATGCATTGCAATATTTCTATGTTGTTTACACGGTGCATCTAGCTTTCTTGTTTTCTTTTTTCCCTTCGCATGCGCGAGTGTAACATCTGCGTGGAACGTCCCCGCGAATTGTACACGGTGGGGGTCGACTAGTGGTCGAGCAGTCCGTTTTCCGCGTTTATTACCGGCTGAACAGGTGGTAAAGGAAGGAGAGAGCGACGGAGAATCGAACAATTTTTTATTAGTATTCGATAGATTTGCATGAACACGAACGGTATAAGCAAAAGATGCGGAGAAGAGAAATTTTGTTTGCAAGAGAACTACTTCAGTTTGCCCTCCACCGCCTAGATTTAGTAATCGAGTTAAGAACAAGCATATGCGATTACTGACCAAATGTGTCTGTGTGTCTGTTCACCCCTAGTGGACATGGACCAGCGTGTTGGCCGGTACCGCCTTCTCTCGAACGGAGGAACGATAGACGTTTTGTGAGTCCATCGTCGATCATCCTGGTACACCTTTCGACTGCGGTGTCGTTCGCGCGTCGACACGCGAACCTTAAACACTCAACGGTATAGTCTTTATCGTTAAGTCGTACGAACGGACGCAAAGTTCGTTCGACGATACGTAGAATGTTGTTAATTGACGTGTAATAAGACCCGACGAGCCGAAGAAACGATGTCCCGTAATCAACGAAAGTAGGATGTAATCAGAACATCGCTTGTCCCGACCCAACGAATCGTCTCCAAATTTCAACATTCGTTTCCCTAAAGATATACTTGGTGGAAGAAATATAGCGAGAACGAGAAAAATAAAAATATGGACTAACAGGATTAGATAGAGCGCGTCGAGAAACTCGTTATATTTGTTTCGCCAACTATACACGGTATATCGTTTGCGTTCTGTATCTGTTTCCGTTTCGAGGTGAAGTTTTGCTCGAAACAATTTTCTTCCACGCGCGTATGTCTCTGAATATTTTCGTCTCATCGTTCCCTCTACTGTGCTTAACAACATTCTTCCTTCCCCTTCTTTCCCTCCGCGGGCAAAATCTTTGCTCCGTCGTACTGTACGTACCATATTGGTTTCGCAGCATGCCGAAACGACTTATCTGTTACGCGGCTATCACCCGGACGACTTTTATACCGATCAATTCGGTTTGTTAAAGGTAGTTTTTGGACCTCGATTCGATCGGAACGTTTGAAAATTTCGATCGAAACATCGTCGGATCGAAAGTCGTCTGGGTACACGTCGCGTCTTGGAATTTTATTAGAATTTATGCGTGCGTGTGTGTGTATACACGTATACACGCGCACGTACGAATATAAATATAAATGGAAGCTTTCCATGAGCGAGCGAAAATTTTTATACTCATGACCGACGAGCTTGCAAATTCTCCGAACGTAACGATATATCGTGCAAGTACCTAAAACGTTCGACAGAGAACGGAGGAAGAATTTAAATCGCCAAAGAGAAATTTCAAGCTCATCGTTTAAACGATACGTGTAACGCGCTCTGTGTAAACGCTTTTCCTATATTTTGCCGATGGATCGAACACGATCGAATGGCTATTCCCGCGATGTTAAAGTTTAGTCGAGTTCCGGCGTGAACGCAAACACAGAACACTAATCGGTATCTCGACGAGCAATTGCGTTTGGCTGTAGAATGACGAAAAAACTATGTTTATATAGATTATCGATTCAGATGGAAATAACGCTGTGTAAAAAGAAGCAAGACTATTTTCGTAACGTTAATAAATTGTAAGTCAATAACGACGACGACGACGACGACGAAGACGACGAAGACGGAAGACGGAAGACGGAAGACGGAAGACGGAAGACGACGACGACGATAACAACAAGAACAAGAACAACAACAACAACAACAACAATAATAATAATAATAATAATAACGATAATAATAGCGATAACGATATTGATAATGATAATGGTAATGGTAATGCCGAGAGGAGGAATGGAGCTACGCCGCTTACTTTTCGTTCGAGATCGGCGCAGTTTACTTTTTAAGTTAAATTTACTTCCTCCGTGAAAACGATCGAATCGATCGGAACGATTCGCGTTGCTGTAAATACATATTTAGAAGAACGAATCGATTAGGCGGGACTCGCTCCTTTTATTCTCGGTTCTCGAAATTGTGCTCTCGCGGTTTCTAAAAAAAAAAAAGAAATATCAAACTCCTCGAGATCTCGGTTTCGATCGCGCGTCGTACCAAACGTGGAAACGCGATCGTAAGAACGCTACGCTGTTCGCGGGCGAACAATTGATCACGCTCGCGATCCGTTTCCTCGATACAATCTTTTCATCGAATCGGTAACAACCGAAAGCCGGCGTTCGCGTGGTTCGATCGTTACCGATTTCGTTAGAAAACCGTGTTCGGATGGTTCTCCACGCGCGTACGATCGAGTCTTGTTGAATTCTCGGGGGAAAAGTCGACCAGGGGTGGGTACGAAAGAGCGCGATGTTTCGAGAGTGCAAAGAAGAATCGTTTCCGACGCCGTCCTTCCCAACTACCTAGGTACTTTTTTTTCGTACAACGCGACACGATAGCCCCGTAACTAGTTTTCTTTTTTTTTGCGTATTTTCTCTTCCTTTACCGATCGTTTACATATACACACACTCTTTCCTTCGTCTTTGCACGCGCTCTATCCCCGGATGCTGGCGGCCGCGACGCCCAGAGCGAAAGGTACTTAGAACGAAACGGAAGAGCGTGCGATGTTCCTAGAGATAGCGGAAACGAGGGTACGAAAAAGAGTGCTCGTCGAGCCGATCCAAGCAGACACCTAACATATGTACTCGTAAAGTCACCGTAACGATCGCGATCTATTGTTGACCGACGAGTCACGCGCTATGGCGAACAACGAGCCATTTAACCCCTTACGCTGTTCGTTCAAGGCTTTCACTCTTCACCGTGGGCCTAAAATCAATTTTAGAGAGGCTACAAAAATATTATTTCGATCATCGATTCGACGATCTTGAATTTTGTCGATCTTTTCGACTGTTCGAACATTCCATTGCAAAAGACAAAGAATTTATCATGTACTGTACTTGTTATACTTTGTACAAACACGATTTGGATCAGTTCTGTTTAGACGATGGGTTGGGTCTGTATCTTACGTTTGGTCCAACTCTCACACGATATTAGTGCAAGGGGTTAAGATCGTTTTTACTTAAACCGTTTCGAGACGATAGGAACGACGCGGAGACGAGACGAGAACGTTCGATTTAGGCTCGTAGATCGTAGAGCGGCTCGATTTCCCGCGATCGTTGTACAGTAACCCGAGACATCATTCCTTCGCGAGTACGTCTGTAGTTAGATTAAGTTCGACTAAGGGATAGGGCGAAAGCTTATTTTTTGTAACGAAGTTGATCGATAACCTCGCCGAGACGCGTAGAATCGACTGCGATCGAGTCGTCCTAAGCCGACGTCGCTTCTCGATCGACAGGCGTCGCTCTCTCGCGCGCGTCGATCGTTTAGCATGTAAATTGTTGTTTGTAATTTTTAACGGTCGCGAGGCGCGCGATAAGCGATACTTGTCCTCCCGTTCGCGTTCATTTGCCCGGCCAATTTCAGGATGGAACGTAAATTCTAGCGAACTAAGAACAAAAGGGGCCGAATAATATCCCGATAGCGAATCGAGAAGTTTGATCACGCGACGAACGGGTATTGTTCGTTCTGGCGATTTTTCATACGTACCTCACAGCTCGCAGACATAACATACTATCGTAAGATTATGGATTTAAGTAGAATTAGTTTACGCTACGGTAAATACGTTAGTGTGCAGTTTACGTAAAGATGTCGATAGTGTGTCGAGAGGAACGCATTCCCACAGTTTAAAAATTAATATTCCGATGACGTGTGCGTGTGTCGCTGTTCCTGCGCTCGATTTTCTTTTTGTCGTCGAGACGAGGCACGATCGAAACGATCGAGAGAAAACGAACGGAGCCTGGGGGTGGAAACAGCCGAAAGAGGACGCGCGAATTACATCGGGCAGCGGGGGTGTCGGATCGCCTCGAACGGATTAGTAAATTTACCTCGCTCGGACTATTTTTATTAATCGCATCTACGGATCATTGAATTAGCGTCAGTTCACTAGCGAGCGTTCGGATATCTCATTTTTTACCACCTAAAGTGTAAACGAAAAAAAAAAAGGTAAACTTACTAAATACGTTTTTTACCCATTCAACACAATAATAATGGTGCACGTAATGTGCGATATTGTTTCTTCGCGTGACGCGTACACGCTTCTCAAACATATTTTTTTCTCCTACGAAGCTCACGAATACCGTTTTATAAGTGACACCTCTTAAGATTAACTTTTATGTGATTCATGCGGAATGTTCAAAAATATAAATAAGATGCATTATTTTCTCTGTGATATATTGTATGCGAGCAAACTGTCCAAGTTTATTCCCCTCCAATTCACCGTGTTCCTCTTCGAGGGTCGAGCCAAATCGGAGGACGCAAGTGAGCGAGAACGTCGCGGTATTTTCTTTTTTTTTTTTTTCTTCGATTATTTACGATCATTTTCTTTGCCTCCATTGGAACACGCTTAAGTAACGCCCCACGTAGAGTACGAAAGAAGGAAAGGCGAGAACGTAGACGATCGGAGAGGCAGTCATTAAAATTTGTTACCGCAGGTACGCACGCAATCTCGACACGGAAAACGCGTACTTCGCGATTGTTCCTTTTCACGGTCCTTTTCGCCGATAACGTTTGCGTTCCCATTTCAGTCTATGTGCGGATGAAACTTACACGAGACTGACGCTGACTCTGCTTACAGGGGAGTCGACGTATTTGTGACTTTGCGAACTAGTCCGATCCGGCGGGGACCTTACTACAACTCACCGTCTTGTTACGAGCGTATCGAATCGATCGATCGATCGCCAACGAAATCTGCCTGCGTCTCTGCCAGTTCACCGGTACGCACGCATATATCTCCGCATTCCCTCCCACCCTCTCCCACCCACCCCACCTCCTCTACCCCCAACCTTTTGCGTTTCATTTCTTGTTTCTTCTTCTTCTTCTTAATAATCGTTTAATATCGTTTGTATGACGTCTCCTCGTTGACACGGCATATCTTCGATAAACACGATCGCTTTCAACTAATCGCCGTGCAACAACTCCACACAGAAAGAAGAAAGAGACGCGGTTTTTTAACGTCGACTTAATCGAACCTCAGTTTACGCTTTTGACGATCAATGTACCATACATTGTTGATTAGTTTTTAACTCGCCGAGACTCGATACGCGCAATTACGCGTCGTTTCGTTTTTATACCGAAAGAAACAAGTATCGCGTTCGACGAAACATTTTCCGCGATCCCGCCGACCGTACGTCGGCCGTACGATAGCTTTATTTGCACCGATCGACGTTTACTTTATCCGTTGACTCGTCGAACGTTTATTTTTTCTCTCTTTGTAAGAAAATTGCGTCTTTTTTTAACTCGTTCAACGATTTCCACGGGGAGGTGTCGGGTCGCCCGTTATATTCAGACTTTTTTAAGCGGATTCAAAACTCTTTTACCAATGCTCGTTGTTTACAAAGATATATTTAATTTTTTAATTTCTGTATACATGTGCCGAGAACGTTTATGTTTAATAAATAAGAAAACAAACAAATCTTTGTAAGTAACGAGCACTGGTAAAAAAAAATCGATTATCCCTCAGGTGCGACCTGTCCTTATCAGTTCGGTATTCGACGAATCTTAATTTTTGCTTAGTTACGAATATTAACGAAGCGACAGCGATCGCATTTACGTTACCATTAGTTGTTGCTCGACAGAATTTCGTGAAAGTTTGTTAGAATAATATTGCGTATTCATTGTCATCGGAACGCGGTTAGTTTATTGGTCGCGTACCGCGGGCAAGTTCTAGATCCGAAGCAACGAGGAAGATTAAGATCCATTTATCGAGCGCACTTGTATTACCGGAAGCTTTACTGGGACCAATAAATTTGTTTGTAAGTTTTTGCGTGTCATCGGATGCAAATTGTAAATGTAGTTAATTATTGTAAGATCTATTTATGGAAATTTCAATTTTCTCAGCGTACAAAGTACAAAGTAACACGACCGGATCTCAAGCGTTTCGAAGTAATTGCGTTTGCTTTTTAAGAAATTGCGTAATACTTAAGATGTTTTGTATAATCGTTTTTAAGCAATTAGTTAGGAAATTTTTTTAGAAACTGTTCGACGAATCGTGTTGTTCTTCCGTCGATTTCTTGAACGCGTCGATACATCGGGAAGATCGGGTCCAATTGCAACGTGGCATCGGGTTTACACACTGTTCCAAACGTTACTTTTTCTTCGTTCGATTGATTTATTTCAAACGCATTCGCACGGGTTTGTGTTACAAAATATTACAGACACGAGTCGTATGAAATTTATCGCGAATGCGGCCCAACGATATGTATATACAAGAATGTAAATTTTTTTTATAAATCCTTACGATACGAGTACGGAACAGGATCAAATTCGTTTGTTTGTTTTTTTTTTTCGTTTTATACACATTAGACGCAACGATCGCTAGTATTCGACACGGAAAGGGGATCGATCGAATTTTGTACCTAGCTTATTTTCAATACTACTTGTTTTCAATGTCGTAACTATTTATACGAGATCGATGCGCCTTGATCGACAGAAAATTATAAACGAAGATAATAATTTGGAGTACTCGGTAGCGCGGTAACCTCGCGAAGAGGTATTACAGTCTGTAAAGTAAGAAATATCGTACAATACAAGAGAAGTACAAGTTCTTTCTACGATGCAATCGCAGCGGCACAATTTTTTTTTTTTTCTTCCACCTTTGTCGTTTCCCCCAATTCGTATCCCACGCGATTCGATCGCGTGCAAAGATCCGTCTTACCTTCCTCTGCCTCGTCCTCGGTTAAACCCACCCCTACCGCGGCCGGGAACCTTCCCTTTGGGTGGCGGAGACTTTGGTCTAAGCGCCTCTATGCGTTCGGTGCACCCGGTCGTAATCTGACCATTTGCAAAATAACTGGTATAAAGGTCCGCGTTAAAGTTTGTATTCGTTAGTTCGGGCCCTACGGTCAGCCATCCCGGGCGAATCGTACTGTCTCGACCAAACAAGTGCAACCTGAGGAACGAAAACCGTAAATCAATCGCGCGTTATTTATTACACCTGGCCCAATATAAGGTCTTTGTATTTCCGTTTCTCACCGTCGTCTACCCAGACAGAAATGCTCGATTATGTGAAATATTTCCACGGGCTTCTCTATCGAGCCGTACTCTGGTTCCTCCGATATAATTAGGTCGATGTCCACGTTAGCGTGGATAAAGTCACCGTCCGTAGATCGTCTCACGGTTCCCTTGATACCCATCAAGCAATGTTCCTTGGTCCTCTGAAGGACCGCCTTGCTATCCAAGTTTTTACTGTGACCGGGATTATTGATGTTGGTTCGGATCCAACAAATATCCTCGCACCGTCTGAATCCCCATTTGCGAAGGCAGAACCTTCCCATGTCCAATCCATCGCTACTCCCGCACCACAGAAACACGAAACTCCTGTTCGCTGCTACTTCCCCGATGTCCAATTCCATAATCTATCAAGGTGACTGTTATCGCTCGCATTGCCGATCGCCGGTGATCGATTTCACCTTCTTTCTCGTTAATCTTCTACTCACCTGATCCCAGTTCCAAAGTTGAACGTTCGTGGCGCCACATGTGCGTTGATACTCCTCCAACGGAGGCTCGATGAGTATCACGTCGAATTTGCAATTTAGTTCCTTTAAATTGTACGCGAGCAAGTCCGTTTTTAGATACATGGGTGGTGTGGCGGTTTCCGCTATCAAATCGTCTTTTAATTTGATCAGTTCCCGTAACTTTGGGTATTCCTCGAACCTGTCCGCCAGACCTACGTCTCTGATAAAATTTTGCGGCCGCTGGCCTGTGTCGATGAAGTGCTGACAATAATCGTTGTGAGGATTCGACGACTGCGTTCCCTTTGACGATTCAAAAAAGCACATATTGTTTTCCCGGTCATATATTTGCTGCAAAGCACGCGCTAGCTTACCTTCAAGAACGTAGATGAATCCTTGTAGACGATTTCGTCGGCGGTAGTCGCGTCGTTCTTCAAATCTTTCACCCCGTTCTCCGTCTTTTCGGATATCGATCTTATTCTTTTCTTCTGCGCGTCGTCGATATCGGTTCCCAAAATCTGTCGCAGCTCGTCCACGCTCGAAACACCCAGCTACGGGTAAATCAATGCGTACTCGAATGTTTGGTAGATCATAACCTCAAAGATAAGACACGAGAGAAAGGTTTTCCTCACCGTTTGCGCTAGGAGCTTCTTGCGTTTTTGTGAACGTTCGCGGAGCGTCTTAAGCATTTTCTCCTAGTCCGGGAACTGTTCCAAAACGTTCGATCTATCGCTAATTTGTAACTATTCGTTGTTGCGTGTACAGCATGACCACTGCATCGATGTAACGCGCGCGACAGTTTTAGGAAACGATTTTATCTCCTGCCATCGTAAGATTCGCTGTCACGAGTTCGGTTCAGAGTTTCATACTTCGCTCCAATCGACAGATACTAGGAGATACAAGCTTTCCCATTATAAACATACGCGTTTTACGTGCCACTGCATCAGTGTATCAGACGACAACCGGTGCCCCTCCATTTACGTACACTAATGTACAGTCGTGTGTACATACGTGAGCTCCGACGTTTTGGACAATTTCGAAGATTCGAGGAAAAGAGCGAATATAAGCCTTCCAAGTAAGTCGTATTTCAGCTATTTAGAGAGCGGGAAGAAAAGACTGACATTCGTTTTCTTTCTCGAATTTCTGAAGAACAGGAGCTCACCTACACGTGACTGTGCATTAGTATGCATAAGTGGAGAGGGGCAGTTTCCTCTAGGCACTGGTCTGCCGTCTAGTAACATTGCTATCGAGCGACCTCTTTCTTGATTGTTTCTAACGCCACGAACTATATGTACGATAGATTGGCTACTCGATGGAATTTCCTGTTCCTAGGCACTTTTGAAAATACAATGTCTGATTCCCCTGTGCATGTTTAAAACATCAATAACTCATGAACGGGTTGGACGATTTTAATATTTCAAAATGCAAACAACGGGGCTGTACAGCCTCGTAAGAATGGGCCAAAAAAATACATTGAACGTGATGTCTACTCGATATCTCGTTCAGTATAGAATAAGATTATTTATTTCGGAAACGATCGAAATCTCGCCATAAAGCTATTGGTTTTTCGCGTGGTCGGTACTCGAGTTCAGAGGCTCCAAGTCTCATAGAGTTTCCAGTCTGTCGTACAGCTTGTCTATGGTGGAACGAACGATGGAACTTGGGAGACCTCTCGCGGCGAAACATGCATTTAACGGTCGATGCCGTTTTAAAATGCTCGAGTTTCTTGTGCTTTGCGCAGCGAACAAGAACATTGAAAATTTACCGTATCGCATAGACAAACCACTCACTGACTTTTCCTGAAAGTTTTTATGCACGCGCGACATGGTAAGTGAACTCTTTTCTTATCTTTTTTTTTTACTCGCATGATTCTTTCTTTCGAGTGAAATTGAAAATACATTTTCCACGTATAAGTAAGGCAAACACGGCTATATGGTTTTCAGGCGTAAATCGAAACTTCGTGTTGCTAATTCATTTGAATTTTCAGGGTTGTTCCTCGAGGGATTGGGAGGGAAAGGCGAGCCAGAGCGATCGAAAGCGAAAGTTACGAGGGGCGCGAAAGAAAAGAGCGCGACGTGAAAGCACGACTTAGGAAAATAAAATGAGCAAGATAAGGCGGTCGCGAAGAGGCGGAGGCGGGCACGAACACTGGTGAGCGCAAGCAAGCATTATGCAGTATTTCGCGTTTCTTGGGACTTCCTCGATTAGTTGACTTTCAAATCGCCGCGCGGTCGGAGTCCTTGCCACGACCGCTAAGAACCGCGAGGAAAAAACCTTCGAGACGATCGTTAAAAAGTACGAGACCGTTTCCCCTCTGTCGCGGAACGAGGATAATTCGCCAAGGAAATTCAACGAACGAATCGAAGCACCGACTCGCCGATGATTGGCTCGGAATCGCGACGAGACTCGCTTGAAATTCCAAGGCGGTTGGTTCGCGGTAAGTCCGGCCGTTTAAATTTTTCTATCTCGCGTATACACGGGCACAGAGGTATTCGAACAATTACGTATTTATAATTAAAACGAACATGTATGTGACTTCGCTGTAATAAATTTAGCGAGGAGCTAAACTCTAAAGAATTAGATTTAGTTAATAAGATTTTATTAACCTCCACCTTGTTTGATAATCATTGACCGATGCTCTCGAATCTCGAACAGTCCGTGTCACGTAACAATTATAGTTGCATGAACGCGTTTAGGCTAGAACATCCCGTTGATTTGATATTTAAGTTCCATGAGCTCCATTAGACCGTCGAAAGGGGTCTCTGGAGGGTAGATTTGCGGACAGATTCGATACGAATCTGTGATATTCAGTCGTTCGATCATAGGATCGGCGCTGATCGGCGCTGATCGGTGTTAATTGTTGCCGGAAACAGAAGGAGAAGACGGGATTGCTCTCCTTGGAGCCAGTCTCCCGCGACCGTGTCGAGGTAACAGTTGCCGGAAGCAGGTGCCAGAGGACTGTGCCGGTGTCACGTCGCTTCCTCGTTGTTCACCTCGTCGTCTTCGTCTTCGTCTTCGATATCGTCGTTAAACTTTCGCTATCTCGGCCCGTCGAGGATTCGCTTCGACTTCCTCCGTCGCGGGACTCTCTCGCCAAGGTTCGTACACGCTTTTCCGTTCAAACATTGTTTACCCGTCAGCAGCGACGCGTTCTGCAGCTGAAATCGATCGTTCCCGTTTCAACAGTCGTTTCGCGTGGATATTTAATTTGTTTACATTTCCACAGCGTTCGAATCGCGACGGTGGTTCTATGTTTCTAGCGATTCCAATGCTCGATAGTTGCATCGATATGCACGGATGGATTTTAAAGTTATTTAGAATGAAAAGATTCGATGAAATTACCGTACTCGGCCGGAGCACAGTTTCCTGGCGATTTGAAAATTGAAAGTCGTCTCGCGATTTCGTGGGAAAGGCGAGCAATCGCGTAAGCAGGCGAATTTGGGATGGTCGCGAATGCATTGTTTGTTCGAGGGAACGTTTGACACGGCGTGAGTCACATACGCGCACTCGTGTACACGCGCTCGTTCGGGCAAAAACAATTTTTTGCCCGCGTTCGGCGGCTGAGGTGTCGAGCTGTGATCGAGACGAGGATCGGGAGAGAGGATCGCGAAGGCGAAAGAAGGGAAGATATAGGATAGACGTGTGTTTCGGTTCGCCGGGGGGGGTAAGAAAAACGGCAGTCGAGTGAATAATCGTCGGCTAGCGGCGTTTCGATTGGTCGGCCGGACGGGTCTCTTCTCCGAAATCCTGGTCGGATCGCGAGAAATCGGCGGTGGCGCTACGTTCACCGGCATCCCTGTTGTCTGTTCTGTTTGCGCGCTCGTTGCCGTCAACGACCGTCCCGTACCGTCCGGTCTCGTCCAGTCGCCACTCCCGTGCGTCGCGGCAACACAACCGATTCTGACAGAACCCAACACAGAGATCGTGTGAGTGAGCCTAGCGGAGGGAGCGAAACCAGCCAAAAACCTCCGACACGCGACCGGAATCGTTTTCCATCCCGTCCCACCGTCCGGGCCCGCGCGATCCATAGATCCGATCTATACGTTACAACCGACTAACCGACTTCCGTCTACGCGTTTCGCAGAGAATCGAGACGGATCGCTGGAGAGTGATCGACGGAGAATCCGGACGAGATGAGACCCGACGAGGTGATACAAAACGAGAGAAGAGCGACGGAGACGATGTCGGAGACGTCGGAGGGCACCGCGGCGACCAGCGTTTCCGGGAAATCGGGGTTCGAGAGCCGGGAGGAGCTGCGGGACATCGCGGCCGTGCTGGGCATCGGTAATCCGGATGACTTGTACCAGGAGAGATTTCGCGTTGATCGTCGCAAATTGGAGCAGATGCTGTTAGGTGAGTCACGCGTTCGATAAACGGGGAGATCGATCATCGATCCTCTGGTTCACTGGTCGTGATTTCTCTTGGAGATATTCGACCTCGCGCGGCGCGTACGTGATTTTCGACGACGTATCGCTCAGGAGTCACGCGGCTACGATTTAAATAGATTATCTGTTTGTAAACGGAATTACAGGGTCTGTCAGATGATAGGCCCGGCCCCGCGGATCGTAACGTTTATTTCCACCGAGATTCGCCGTCCGTATTTACGCTCGTGTTCCCCGATCCTGCACGCCCGTTTCCGAACTCTTTCGGTCAAAAATTGTACCGAACGATACGCACGAGTTATATCAACGATTGCGCGACCTCGTTTTGCGCTGGAACAACGCGACAAACCTCGAGGTTACATTCGCGTTATTTACGGAGTTCGGAGTAAACTGTTTCTTTCGTACAAATTTCGCAAAGCACGCTTTAATTTTACGTAACATATCCCCCTTCTTCTAGCGATCGCGGGCAAACGTTTCGTAAATGTATCTCGCGTAGAAATGTTTCGTATAATTTAGCCATCGTATTTGTGTGTTTGACCGCGTTGGAGCGTTCGGGTGATTTGGCGACCCGTTGTAAATACGACCGATAAACCGTTCCGTTCTCTAGACAAATTTCATCGCCAATTAATATACTTCTAATAACTGTTTCGTCGTCCAGGCGTGTGTAACCTCCGACAGAAAAACGCGTTAAAAAAAGAAGTCAAAAGAAGGAACGGGAGTTCGTTGTACCCTAACCGTACATGTTTCTTTGTTTACAGGTGATAATGACACACCCAAGCCAGCGGACAAGTTTTTTCATACCGTAAGTTACGTTTCATCGCCCTTTTTGGCACGTTTAACGTATCGTTTAATGAATATTCGCCTCCGCTCGTTGCCACGCGTGAATTCAATCGAACGACTCTGCTGTTCGCGAGAGTTTCTCGCCATTTGTTTCTCACCACGTTCCGTGTTCGATCCGAATAACATCTTACAATCGCACGCGTCGAATTTGAAACGCTCTAAACGGAAAGCAACGAAAAATCGGTCCGGCACGGAACGTGTTAACGTATTACCAAACGCGCGTAATAAACGGGTTCATACTAATTTTATGAAATTTAATAATACCAGTTTTATTATACAATGACTAACTAAACCTAGATCTTAGAGAAAAGACAACGAATGAATTTAAAACCGTTCGTAACCTTTGATTCTTAGAGATGGTTAGGGATAATTCCATGGAGTAATTCCGTCGAACAAAAGCGGCTGAATCGACTGTACTCTCGTATCGCTGTTCGATATTTTCTTCGTCGGCGAAAACACGCGCCGACATCGATAACTGGTGTCGTAGCGACCCTCGTTTTTACGATTAATTTGTTAATGGTCGGATAATGAGATTGCGCAATTCCCCGTTGGGCGCAACGATAGGCAAAGCCCCGAGCAAAACGCGTTCTTCTCGAATTCGTTGTTTCCTTCGATCGAGGAAAGGTATATATCGCGAGGGAAATTCGCGGGGGTCAACGATCGCGGAGTCCGTCGCTCGAACGGTACGCGACGCTCGCCTCTAAAACGCTGGCGTCGCGCTGCTCGTTCGAAACGTCTTCCAAACGATGCCCGAACGTCATCGATTCGACGACGTTTGCAAATCGACCGCCTCGTTCGCGGTAAGCAACGCGACCTTTACGATTATGCGATGCCGAACGAGGCTATTTTTGCGCCATTTCCCCTCCCGCTGGAACGAACGATAATTTGTCTCTTCGTGCTACCGGTGCTCTCCACGCTGCACCTTGACGAACTCGAGGCGTCGCGACGCGGACGGAACCTCGAGAGGCCCGCACTGAATCGCTCGAAGAAACCTTATTGCAGCCATTTAGCTCCATGGTACCTCTTTTATACTTCATTACACAAATTTTAATGTGTCGTCGAGTAAAAGTTCTGTCAGTAATCTCGTTCGCGTGACTGACGCGCGAAAACTCCGTCTCATGACCTTTTGCAAAAGTGTTGCTATCTAAAGTCCCGAGAATCTTGAATGCCTTGAAATCGTTAAAGATCTCGGTGAAACGTTACGTAAACGTAAAAAGAAGATTTTATTGACAATAAAATCCATTCGCGCGCAGCTTTTAATCTAATTGTATAAGATAAACACGGGCAAATTCTTCGGTATCTTAACGATACCAATAAGCAGTGTCAAGGCTGTCAAGAGTTTAAATGTTTTCAAGAGCGTCGATGCATTCGAGGCTCCAAAGGCTTGGAAAACGTTTCGGGACTTTAAAAATATTCGTCGGTGATCGAAGTGTTCGAGACTTTTGAAACATTTCAGATCTGAAAACAGCTCGTCTATCGAATGAAACGTAATAGTGTATCGGTATGTATCGGCGAACAAACTGGTGCTGGCATGTTGCGATTACAATGTTGATCGAAGATTAAATTACAAATGTTTCGCCGTCGATCGATTAATGCGGACCAATTCCGCGCAAATCCGATCGGCACGGTGTTAATAACGCGTGTTATCTATCCGCATCTACATATTTATCGCCACGATACGCGAGTGCAAATTATAGAACGTCTCTTACAAAGTAAAAGACAAAACGATCGAATAATTCTCTGTTTTTCCATGGTAAGCAGCGGATAGACGCAGTTAGATAAGTCGCATTATTGAAATAGAGACTTCCTGTTTACTTCGAAAGGACTGATCCGCGTTGTTGACTACGCATATTTCCCTCGATCGAACGAGCACTAGTAGCTCACCGTCTTTCGGAAAACGCCCTGTACGTCGTTGCATTCGCTATAAAACGGTTGTCCCGCGATATCTCTTTTTCACTCTCCGATCAAAGTAACTGGCGACGCACAACTCCAACCTGAAACCCGACCACGGCTTTCGACAGGTTTGCTTTTAATTCTATCGTGACATACCGTTAACTAGAATTTCGTGGATTTTCGAGTAGTCGTGTTTCGTATTGTTATCAGATTTTCGGGGTTTCTGGCCCACCGCGTGGAGGTAGCGACGAGCAACAAGTACGCGTCGTAGAACATGTAGACAAATGCAACGAACCGATCGTTCGCCAACGAGTTCGAAGGCAACGTTCGCGCTTATCCTTATCGTTGACACGTTGCGTAAAAGGGGGCCTGGAAATACACGGCTCGATTATTTATAGACCGGGTTTACTCGCAACTTGGCGCTACATGCTCGATCCCGTTCCCCCCTGCCTCTCCCACTCGCGTTAAAAAACATTTGCGTTCCATACGGAACGCGTTGTCGTTGGCGAATTAAAGAACCGTTCTGTTTTTCATTTACATTTCGCTCACGATATTTCTACCAGTCACGGGATCGAAATAAACCTCTGCTTTTTCCACGGCAAACCGAACTTTCCGCTCCATCTTTCGCCGCCATTTTTCTCCTCTTCTCGTTATTAAATCGGGGCTGCTTTCTTGCTCTAACTTCAACTTTCTGTAAATTAAACTGATCCTCCACGTTTGTGGAACACGCGATTTCTATATCGCTTCTAATCGCGTACAGACACACGTAAACACTATTGTTGGTAACAATGGTCACTTACAAACACGAGTACACGTAAACAATTGCCTCTTATATAGGCACGTAAACTTAATTTACAAAATTCAAGTATTTAAATTCTCTATTTCGTAAAGCAATACTGCAATCGAGTTTTTGCAACGATTAATACTAATTTCGAACGTCGAGGGGAATAAACACTTTGTTGACTGTTCTGCGTCACTTTTAATGCACTGTTAAACGATTACGGTTGAAAGACGTTAATATCGCGTCTCGTGAACTCGTGCGATATGATGAAACCTCCAAACCCGTTAAATCACTTACAAGATACACACCAGCGTCACGTGATTTTATACAAATTTACGGAGGTTTATTTCCTTTACAGTTGTTAGGTATGGTCCATGGTTCACGTTTCACGAAAGTGTTTTTCGACAGAAAATTAGATACGCGCGAGAGATAACTAGCGATGGGGCTAATCAATCGGCTCTATCGATATCATTTCATATCGCTTCATTCCGATACCCGAGGATCATTTGATTCTTTAGAAACGTCACAAATTTCTAATTTATATAATTGCAAATTGAGTAATTTATAAGTTAAACTTGTAACTCGACTCGCTTATTTAAAACGATTAATTAATAATTCTAACCGATTAACATTTATCAATATTTATTACGTGCAAAGGTTCCACGATTACGTCACTATCATATTTTGTAGGAGAGTACGTTGAAGGATAGCAAAAACGTGATTCGAACAGAAACGTGGAAAAGAGCTACAACCGCGAATACATTTGTGAATTAATAATTTCGAGCGAATTGGGTGCGTTTAACGGTAAAACTTTGATCGCAACGAAGCATAGACGATGTCTTGCGCGATTCGAATGCGCCATGCTTCGATGTACATACTTCGCGATCATCAAAACGTAATCGCATCAGTTCCATCGCTAGCGATAACAGTGTCTCTCCAAGTACTTTAAAAACAACTGCAAACTCATCCTCGCATTTCCGAAGGCGACGCGCGTTTCGCATTCGCTCATGTGACTCGACAATAATGTATTTCGACCTTTATCGTCGTATTTCGAGAAAGTACGTTGGCACAACGCGTACGTTATGTATGTTCGAAGATAAACGCAAAATACCTTTTCATTTACCTTGCATTTATTTACGTATCAAAAGTACCACATAGATTAAATTCTCAAAATGCTTTGCTTTTTATACAGATTCAGATTTCTCATTGTTCGATTCCTAGATTGTTTCTATTATCGGTGTGCATTTCTTGGTTTCTTACGAAGACTATAACGTTCGTTTGGGCGACGGCTTTCCAGGGTCGCGTGTTTCGTGAGTCAAGGGAGGAATTCGCTTGGCGTCGTTTTCCAAAACGATCCGAGGTTCCCTCGTGAAATATTTTGAACGAACCGCGGGGTCCGGTGTTCGTGGTCTTCCCGAAATACCGTGTTACACGCGACATGTAATTTTAGCGAGAGTCACTGGACCTCGAGCTCGATTTATCCAACGCAGCCTTCGCTGCCAACTTTTCCGGATCTCCGAATCGATCGTTTCCTCGGCGTCGATCGATGGGAAGCGCAACGAAAACCGTCGAAGGTTGATCCTGGTCGATACCTTCGTCCATGGGGTACCTGGTCCGGTCGTTTCCTAGTCACGGTCGACAACGGGATCATAACGCGAAACGATGCTCGAACGGGAAAACCCGAAAAACGCGAATCTTTATTTATTAGACTTTGTTTCTTAATTTTTGATAAACGCGCGATAGGATCGATGGTGTACGCGTTGTTGGTATCTGCCTTCTTTGGAAATGTATCGGTATCGAAGATCGATAGCAAGTAGCCGCAAGATAGATTCGCGCAGATATCGAAAAAGAAAATGATACTTTATTATCTGACGGCGATAGCATCGACGAGCTATTAATCCCCGCCGCTAGTCATTCTTCTTCGAAGAAAAAGTACGGTCACCCGTTGATTTCACGCTGTCGCCGGGCAAATATACCGTTCCGCGCGTTTATCGAATCCATAGTTTGCGTTTCGCGTCCAATTTCCTCTACCGAGGTCTCGGGTTTCCAGAGTTTTTGCAACAACACGACTTCGGAAATAGACAGAGTACGCGGAAATATGGCTCTCGGGTCTCTGGATTTACCTCGACAAATCGGATCGACATTTATGGTCTGAGCGTTCCAGGTAGCGTCCTCGCAGAATGCATTTCGACCTGAGATTTCTGTCCCTCGACCCGATTCTAACAATTGTCGGTTCGGAAAATTCTTTTGCATCGGGTCACGGAGGTACCAATGGATTTATTTACCAACAGATACGAGAAATCCAATGCGTACGATACGTCTGTATTTTGTTTATTGGTCGATCGAGTGGTGGTTTTAAATCGACGAGGACCGCAAAGGGTTAAATCGGTGGAATCGGGGGAAGGGGAGGGCTGCACCTGTCCGAAAGGGAATGGAAGTTCCACACAGCTGGTTCGCGCGAAAGAACTACCTGTTCGTCCGGGTCTTTAAATCGTTCAGCAGCGTCGGGTCGGACGACGGAGGGGCAAGACGAGGCAAGGCAAGGCAAGGCGAGGCGAGGCGAGGCGAGGCGAGGCGAGGCGAGGCGAGGCGAAGCGAGGCGAGGCGAGGCGAAGCGGAAACGAGCGAGAGATTGTCTCCGTCGGTCGGAGTCTAGGTTATTCGACGGCATTCGCGCGGTCGGTGGTTCCTCGGTCGGGTTGGTGGAAGCAGGAGGCAGAGAGACAGAGACGTACGGAGTCGTAACAACCAGGCGAGTGGGAGGCGGTTCACCGAGCCGTCCCGTTACATTATCTGCTGTTAGTCAGTCAGTCGTGCCAGCGATCCCGACGCGGTAAAAACGAAACGCGTCGCCGGTCGTTCGAGAGATCGTTTCTGCCGAGAGAACCCCGCCGGTCATCGTGAACACCGTTTTGTTCGTCGAGTACGGAGGTGCGAACAGTGCGCGCGAAACGCAATACGCGATCGCGTCCGGTTACGTCGAGAGAGGCGGTCGGTGGTCTCGAGCGAAAGGATCTTGGATTTTCGTGGCGAAACCCGCTGGAAAAATCGTCGATCCGGCCAGCACGCGATGAAGTGAACGGGTAACCGGGATGTCCCGCGGGTCTCGATAGAGTCGAGTGAAAGTAAATACACCGAGAGCTCTTTCTACCCCGGTCCGAGCGGTTCGAAGGGATCGCAGTCACCATGTCCAGCCTTCTCTCCGCCAGCCAGGATACTTGAACCGTGACCGCGAAGAAAGTGTCGAGAAAAAGCCGAAGCCGCCTAGCGATTCGCCCCACGTTCAGTTTTGCCTACCTTTCCGATTCCACCGAGTCGCCAGGGAACCCTCGAAGGTCGATCGAGACGTAACCGTCGGCAACGATGACCGTGGTAACGTCGAGCTTTCAACGGTGCTCGCACGAAAAACGTTCTCTTTTCGAGAAATGTCCGGCTGACGACGGTCGTTTGCTTGTTGCAGGTTATGGAGGAAACGAACACCTACGTTACATGGCCGTCCCGGCTGAAGATCGGAGCAAAGTCGAAGAAAGGTAAGCGGCTCTGGTTGGTCGTTGGACAGCGCGCGTAAACTCAATACTGATCGTCGAGATCAAAGTTCCCGACGCGTATCGGAAGGTGGATCCGCGGCGCGTTCGCGAGTCGAAAGGTGAACCGGGTGTTATCCGAGGGAAAGTTTCGAAAGACGCGCGTCTTCCACCCGGAAGACGATCACGACGAGGGGGTTCGACGACTCTGGGCGACCTTGGCAGGCCATCGGGTCCGTTGGAACATTCTGATCGAATACATCGCGACGAGTGTTTATCGTTTATCGACCGAACCTCGTTACACACGTACGGCAGGCGATTACGTCAATCCTGGGTTGCGTCGCCTTGGCTCGATCGCTGACGTCGGTTGTACCTACCGTCTTTCCTCGCGACGGCTATTTACGGCTCGTCCACGCAAATTCTCCCGCACATTCGCGTCTCCTCGATCTCCGAGAATCCCGTGGTCGCGTCGTCCCCGTATCGATACGGAGGACGGTGGCCGTTCGCGAACGCGGGATTAATTAGAGCGCACCCATTAATCGAAAGTGATTACGAAACGACTCGCATGCTTGGTCTGGCGCAGCAGCGCGTGTCGTATCGGCCAAGTAAAACGCGACCGGGTTTGCACCGCGTAGAAAACTCTGCTCGCGGAAACCTCGAAACGCGCGCGTCCTCCGCCGCTCGCCGTGGAAACTTTTCGGTGATTCATCCCTTCCTCGTGACCCGAACAGCTGTTGCGTTTCTCCTCCTCCTCCACCCCCTCCATCCTCCTCCTCCTCCTCCGTGCCCTCCCACCGAATAGACCGATTGTGCGTGACAAGACGCGTAACCCGGTATAAATAGGTCCCCGAGCGTGTCCCACCTCGAACGGAATCCTTCGCCGAAGGAAACTCGTTGCGCCCGATCGGAAAAACACGAGTTCGTTTCGCTCGCGCCACTCGTATCGTCGAGCACTCTCGCTGGATTCGCGAATCGCGAATATTGTTGTTGTTCCGCCGAGAACCGTTATCTTCGACGAGAATTATTAGTAAACGAAGCGACTCGATAAGTTCGGTCGATGGGGCCTCTGTTCCAGTTCGATCGAACGGTAGACTCGTCCGCGTGACTCTACACGATAGAATTATTCTACTTTCGACTCCTTAAAAGGTCGTCCGCGAGCTGAACCGAATCCGTATCTTCTTTCGGCGATCGTGAAATTATACAACCGTTTTTTCACCATGAATTCTCCCGACCGTGACTCGCCCGCCCCGTAATCGACCGATTCCCTCGAAAGTTCCACCAGACGTTTCCGCGTCTGTGATCCATTTCGATGGAACTATGGAAATTTCGCGAAACGCGTCATCCTCCGAGGGTACCTTTGTTCCTCGATAAAAGTCTTCCACTTTCGTTTTCTTTAGAAATCGATCGCCATAACGCGACGAGATCTTTGGATCGTCGGCGATCAGTGATTCATAAATGCTCGACGACGCTTTGGAGAATAAACCTACGCGTTATTCGTCCGTTTCCACTGATTTAGACCATAGTTATCTCTAGTTTCAGCCATCAGCCATCAGCCATTATTATCATCATCGAATAATGCCCTTTTCCACAAACTTGTACAGCTAGATCAGACGCAAAGTCGATTTCGGGCAACGGTGCCTGTAGCCTCGAAGGCACGGCGAAATTGTGGCGTTACGAAAGTTGGTTCGCGATACGCGTGACGGACTTTATCGTCGTTTGCATAGGGGCACGATACGTTGGGCGTCGAGATAACTCGAGCAACGCGAAATGGTGTATCATCTGGAACAGCGTTTCGTTTCGAAAACAGGCGTCGCTATCTGCCCGAACGAGACCGTTTAGACCGTCGCTGTGTAAAAATGTTTATCAGATTGTCGGAAGTACTCGAACGATTATGAACTAGAAGATGCTGCCTTTGATATTTACGACGATAAAGCGTCAGCGGGTAACTATCGATCGCGATCGATAGGGCGTTTATCTAGCGCGAGCTAATTACAGCGAACGGAGATTCCCGAAGGTCGCGCGCGATCTATTTCTGGGTCATCGTTTCGATTCGGACCGAGTTTTCTCCTCTTAGCAACCGGCGCTGTTTTTCTTCTCCGTGGCCGGTATTTTTAGGCGGATCCGTTGGTATCGATCTTTGCGAAAAATTCCGTGCCGCGATGTTTACGCGAACAACAGGCGTGGCTCGTTCGCGGATGCGGTCATCGGTCCGACAAAATTGTTTACGCGGTTAAGAAAGGCACGGTTTTCATCGGGCGACGAGTTTCCGCGGCTTTCCCTCGACGAGCTCTCGATTACGACATCGCGTTCACGACTTCCTGCTTTTTTTAACGCCGGTAGCATCGTGTCGTCGTGTTTTCCAGCTCGCCTTCCTCGAATGTTCCCTTCCTTTTCGCGAAGCAACGCCATTAGTTATCGGTCGGACCTGACTAATACTCGTTAACGTTCGTCATTATGCTAAACTTGATTCGTAGAGTGTAAAAAAATGATCAATTTTACTTTACAAAGTACTGGAAGAACCAACATTCTCGTCTCGTTTCCGAGTAAAGGAAAAAATTGAATTTGGTCCCAATTTCCGACGCGATTCCTTCATAGTTCAAGTGTGAGAGTTAAAAATAAACGCTCGTCCGTGAAATGCAAACGAGTGGAATTCTTTTTAAACGTATTTAAATGTCCCGTGTAAAACACGACATGAATATTTATACTGTTTTTGATAAAACAACTCGCGCCTCGGAAATAAGATGGTGTAACGGCTATCAAAGTGTTAATTACGCGAATACCCATCCACAGTTTCAGAAGAGGATCTAGATTATTAAACAATGGGGATTTCCAAGGATAATGTATTCTTCGATAAATCATTTTAAGTAAAAATCGATCTTTCTTCTTGGATTCTGTATTCACGATATAATCCAGGAAAATCTCTGTAAACCGCGTTGGATTGGGAATGATCGATCGACGATTAAACAAATTACGTACCGAATATTAAATGTACTCGTCTCGAAAGTTTCGAGCATTTTCCAACGACGAGTTATCTCGTCATCTCCGGGTTAAAAGGTTAAATATGGCGTAGTTTGAGCCGATCGATAATTTCCGTCGGAATCAAAGTTCGGTTTATCGCGTTGGGATCTGCGCGACGACGATCCTCGAATCGATAGATCGCCGACGGTCACCGGTTACCTTCCCGACGACGACACGTAAGTAATCGTCCTCGACTTTGGAGCGTTTCGTATCCAGGAAGAAACGACGTTCGAGGAGGTTTGCGCTCGGAGAATACTAAAACCGTTTCCTAGTCGCCTTTCGTCTCGTCCGTGAGCGCTCGTCGACTCTCGTGCCCCGTCGATCGGTTGCTCGTAATAATAACAACGTATTGCCGCGCTGTTGCATAATTTGTTTCGCCGTTCTTTTACAGATCCGCATATAAAGGTCGCGGGTCGACCCGATGACGTGCGAACCGCTAAGGAGAAGATAATGGAAATTTTGGACACGAGGGTAAGCTAATCGACGATTTTCCCGTGATTTTCTCCATTTTCGAGCTACTCGACGCGTTGGTCTCCGCGGAAAATCTTGTACTCGACGACGAGAGAAAGATAAAGCATCCGGCGGTCTGGTGTCACGGGCGTTTCACTGGTTTTTACCGAAACGTTACGTCAGTCGCGAGATTAGCGACGACCTCGTCGATCAGCTTTTGACTTTCAGCATGGCGAATTGATCGGCTCCGTACAAACATTTCTCCGGCTCTTATCGCAGATAATCCGCCCGGACGATAATAGAAACTTGCGCGTAACGAGTCCTTTGTAACAATGTGCCCCGTGTAATCGATATCATCGCCCGATATTGATTTTTTCGACGCGTCGTTTTCTTTCTTTCCGTTCTTTTTTTTACTCCGCTTCTTTTCGTTTAGAACCGCGCCTGGTAAATTTCCGTCGTATCGCGCGTTGCTATTTTTCGTGGAAAAGTCTCGCGGGGCTTTTATCAGGCCGATCGAAATCACGGCTCCGCGGTGGAAAGTCAACACTCGTACAACATCGAGAGTCTGTCGAGGCTCTCGATTAGATAATTTCGTACGTTTAATTTATAAATACGCGTATCCAAAAATACAGAATTATCTGTATTTCTTTTAAAGAATCATACGATTTTTCAGTTTTATCGAGCGAAACAACATTCACGATTCCCCGACGTATACGTTTCGCTACCTCCCTCCCCCCTCTCTGTCGTTCGGGAATATAATTTACGTACGGATAGTTCGCGCTCGTCGTGTCGTTGAAAATGTTTAGGGAAAAGTGAGTTGCCGCTAAAGAGAAAATGCTAAGCAAAGTCGAAGATAAGATAATAAGATTTATGTATGCGTATCGCGTACGTAAATCAGTCTTCTTGCCGTACGACTCGGGCCAGATATTTTCAAAACATCGATTGTACGCGATCGGCCATGAAATTAATGTCAGGTTCGCGTATCGATGCCTCGACGTACCTGTGGACTCTTTCGATACAACGTCTAATATTTTCTAATCGTCCGCGTCGATGTGCAAAAGCCGATCGAAAAGTCAGGCGCGTAAAAAGGATCGTGTACGTTCGGCTCGAAAGGAACCGCGAAAGGCAAAACGAGCGTAAAACTAGAGTCTTTGTTCCCGTTTGTCGTTTTACGGTAGACTAGAGGCAACGGTTGCGGGTCAACGCTCGGATCCAACAGAAATATCGCCTGTAACCGCGCTCTCGCATCCTTTGATCCCGGATCGCGAAACTTTCGCCCGGTTCTACCGGCATCTTCGGCACCCGTGGCTCCTTGTTTTCTAATACGATCTCGCGGTTTTCTTTTTAATTGACGGTCGCGTAAGCAGCGCCGAGGAGTCCGACACCACGTAGGAAGAAGTAATTCTATTTATACGCGGACGTTGTCTCGCGAATTCCCAGCCGAGAAAGCGAGACGTCCTATGCCGCGACGATTCGGTTCGCGTTTCCTTGCCCGCGTACCGTTATCCCTCTGAGCCCCCAGGCTTGCCCGCGGGCTATCCCTCCCGACCAGCGATGGCTTCGACGGACCGACGATGCATCAGTTCAATTTGTTCCATTACCGAACCGTTAAAAAAGTTTCTTGTCTGGCGTAACATGCATGGTCCCAGGCAGAGTTCTAACGCGATTATGATAAATTTATTGCTTTCTAAGCACCTTAGCGGTTTGTATGACTAACGATCGCAGGTCGTAGCCGTTGGTTACGCGCGATGACGTTGAAGGAATCGTTCGATAAGAAATACTGGTCGGTCTGTAAGCCTTTCCGGGCGTATCACGGCACGATTTACGCCAACTGTATTACCAGTTGTCGCTAGGCAGCTCGAGCTGCTCACCTGATCGTACAAAACGCGCACCGGGATCGAAAGCTCGAGCGTTCACTTTCCTCCGGCTCGCTCGGAGACGCTGTAAAACAGCGAGCGCGTTGCACTCTCGACACCGTTACCGTGTTGCGGCTTTTACATAACGCCCGGATAGCTGCTACAACGTTTCGAATCGCGCACGGTTCTGCAACCGGAGTCCTACGCGCGTACGCTTGTAATTAAAATGGGCACGGATCGTACTAGATTAGAATAAAGCTATATGGGTGGTAAACGCGCGGTCGGTCATAAGACGCAGCGTTACGGTTTAGGAACCATGGTAACTCGCAGAGAAATATCTGTTCAACTTTTACAGCAATCGTGGTATCGTTGAAAATATTATATAAGCTAGGTTTGCTTACTTTTTTGTTCACACTTTCCAATGGATATTTCGTACGGTCGCCGCTGGATAGTTCTTCCGTACGTTAATAATAAAGAGATTGAAGTACGATTTAGGCGACCGTCACGCATCGGGCAACTCTTCCTCGTGCAACGCATTACACGATGAAACGCAAACATTAGGTAGAAAGTTGCTGCGAATATTTCGTGGAACGACCGTTGTTACGTATAACTGGCTGTAATTGTCATGCTGTGCCGTTAATAGCTCTGCACTTGTTATTATCGCCAGTCCGTGTGTAAATTTATAGTGCACGGTTTGACAACGTCTCGTGGTTGTTTCTCTCCGGCGCAATTTATCAAAATTTATTGCCCCTTTCCTTGAAAAACTGTTGATATTTCGATTGCAGCAGAGCAACAGAGTAACCATGAAGCTGGACGTTAGTTACACCGACCATTCGCACATTATTGGAAAGGGCGGTCTGACGATTAAACGAGTGATGGAGGAAACCGGCTGTCACATTCATTTCCCGGACAGTAACCGTAGCAATCACCAAGAGAAGAGTAATCAAGTCTCCATTGCTGGAGAAATGGAGGGTGTCGAGAGAGCCCGTGCTCGAGTCAGGGTAAGCCGGATCGTTATCGAACGGGATCGTTGTCACAGCCTCTTTTAACGCGCCCACTGTCGGACCAAATTCCTGAAATTTTCCACATTTTTCGCTCGAAAACACAAAGATGAATCGTTAAACTGTAAATGTTTCGGCAGTTCTCAGATTCAGATCCATCAACGCGTTAATCGTTCGTCGTGTTTGCAGAATCTTACGCCCCTGATATTCTCGTTCGAGTTGCCGATCATGGGTTCCTCGCAGACCGTTCCCGACTCCACCTCCCCGTACGTGGTTAAGATCCAAGAGAAGTACAACGTACAGGTGATGTTCCGTACGAGGCCAAAGTTGCACGCCACCCTGGTCGTGGTGAAGGGCTGCGAATGGGAGGTGTCGCAAGTGAAGGAAGCGACCGTGCTACTGATTCACTATATGTGCCAAAACTTAGCTGTAAGACTAACTCGATCGCTCGATAAATATTGCGTTCAAAATTGCCAGCATTTCTAGCGCGGTCTTTCGTGTCCGTAGAGTCAAATACAAGTACAAATGTCGATGGAGATCTCACCGCAACATCATAGCATCGTGCTGGGGAAGCAGAGCTGCAACTTGAAGATGATCATGCAGCGCACAGCCACGCAAATCATGTTCCCGGACGCCGGTGATCCAAACATTCCCAGTTTGAAGAAGAGCAACATCACGATCACAGGTGGCATCCATAACGTCTACTTGGCCCGACAACAGTTAGTGGTAGGTCGCGTTTGTTCGCGCGATTCGGTTATTTAGTATTGGAAGAGCTCTCATCTTCTTTGAAATTCCAGGGCTCTTTGCCGTTGGTTTTGATGTTCGATCTACCGGAGGATACTATGCCGTCCGTCGACACGGACCACATCTCCCAGCTGATGCAGACGTTGGACGTGTTCATAAACGTTAGGCACAAACCGAAGCAAAGCTCGCTCTCCGTGATCATCAAGGGAATCGAACGTAACGCCGGAAGCATTTACGAAGCGAGGAAACAGCTGTTGGGCTTGGACGAGCCGAGGATGCACGCGGAGATTCCAGCCACTTATCATATCCCGAACGCCGGTAATGTCTTTCAGGGAAACACCATCAACGGGACCGGTAGGCATCGTTGTAAGATCGCTTCGCGCCGAGTTTAGTTCGATTCTACCAATCTCTGTACACTCGTAGGTTCCAACAATATGGTCGGCGGCAATCTGTCGGAGAACTTGTCGAATTTGCTGTCGGTGAACACGCAGAATCCTCCGTACTGCGTGTCGCCGGTGTCCCACTCGCCGAATCCGATGGGCTTGTCGCCACATTGGGGCTTACCCTCGATACCGTCCATGTTCTCGCCTCTGCCTCTTCATCATACCTACCCGTATCCGCACCTGAACCACTTGCTGACCACGCAGCACGTGATGCACAACAACGCGATGTCTCATCATCCCCACGGAATGCAGAATCACGCGTACGCCGGCATCGGGCAACTTCACTCGAACGTGCCATCTGTTGCCAGCTTTCACAGTATTCACGGATTGAACGGCGGCTCGTTGGCGGACAGTAAAGAGAGCAGCGGTAAGTTTCCTCGATCCAGTTCTCTCGATCATCGTCGAACAGATGCGATAATTACGTTTCCTTCAATTTCTTTGGGCAGCATACTCGTCGCTGAGCAGCGTCTCCAGTTCTCTATCTAGTCCCGCGATCAGTCCTCGAAACGTGTCACCGGTCAATCCAACGGAGACTAGTCCTAATTTAGTAGGTGATTTATGTGGCGTATTATCCGACCTAACGGTGAACGATCGACGTGCACCCGGCTGCGAGAAGAAATCATTGGAAATGGCTGTGCAACAGAATCTCGCTCCCTTCGACTACGAGCAGAAGAAAATCTTAGCTGTGAAAGCGATGCAGTCGAAACCGACCTCCAACGAGTATCGCGTACCCACTTCCTCGTGGTCCGGCTACGGACTCAGTCAATCCATTCCTCCTATAAGCACGACCGACTTGATCAAGGTAAACCTAACGAGATCGAGACTGTTAGCGATCAATTGAGCCTGAAATTTACTAAATAAGAACGTGAATAAAATTTGAATAGCAGGAATTGACCACCTCCCATCCGTCTGATTTGTGGAAAGAACCAACGACGCCGGTGTTCAACAGAGAGATTGACTTCGGAATCGGATCCGGCAAAGACTGCGTTGGACAGATCGGCATAAGTTCCAATTACATGGAGCACACGCCGACCTCGCATCTAAAGAAAATCATGTCTCACAGATACAACGACTTGACCAGCATGCTGACCAGCGTAGGATTGGAAAAATATAATCGTAAGTGATACTAAAGTATAATAGCTATGCATCCCGCACGCTTCAATAGTAAAATGCTTCAGCTTCGAGCTTGCCAAAACGTGCTGCTTGTTTTTTGTTCGCCAGGCCTGTTCTCGTCTCACGAGGTGGACATGTCTACGTTCCCCTCGTTGACGGAGAAGGACCTCAGCGAAATCGGTATAACCGCTTGGGGCGCGAGGCGCAAAATAATGCTGTTGATCGCTGGTACGTAAGCCGATCCTGCTTCTTTTTTTTTGTCGGTACGGTCACGGTGATTTGTCCAATTTCCCATCACGACGGTCTCTCGTTTCTCTTGCAGAGTTGAATAAACGATCTAGTCCATTTTGCGGTAGCGCCGCCCCGGGCGCGGAACGCAAGGCGACCACGTCGACGACTTCGACCTCGATGGAGAAGTGCAATCTAGACGGCAAATGGTAAACAGGACGAGGAGCAATGTGGCGAGTCTCGCGGCAATTAACGCGAATCGGATGCGACACCGGATCTATTTCGAACTGTTGTACTTAACTGTTCGCACTGCGCTCGCGCGCGGACAATCCCATTTCAAGATACAAAAGAATCCAGAATCGAAATCGAATTTACGCGGGCCAGCCCGCCGACTCGACAGTAGGGGTCAAAAACAAGTATAATTAGTAAGTTAATTTGCGATTACGAGGCGCCGGACGAACACATCGAATGATTCTTTTTTTCCGATCGAGGACCGTTTCCAACTCTTTTTTTTTTTTTTTCATTTTTTTTTCCTCCCCGCGGTCCTCGGTTTCGCGCGCTCGGACGGCGCCTTAGGTTAAGGAGCTCGTTACTACTTTCGTTTCGTTAACTTTTTTTTTACGTTGCTGGGAGCCCTTTGCGCGCTGTCGATCGCATCGACGACGCGCAACGGCTTCGAACGATCTTTCCCCGGTCCAGCGACGCTCGGGCGGATCGACGCTTCTCGTCGTCGACTCGCCACGGTGGGCGTCGCTCGACGGCGCGTTCGTGTATCGTGTGTGTTGTGTGTAACGGTGAAGAGGTTCGTGATGTGGCGTACAGTGTAAATCGGTGATAACGGTTCGATTAGATTAACGAAGCGTCGAAGAAGCTTCGGTGTTTGATACGCGATGGGCGGGGGATGTCCCGTGCGTTCAGCGGCGTTTCGCCCTAGCAAAGTTAAAATATTTAATCTCGACTAAGCTCGAAATCCGGCGGGCGGGCAACAACGCCTGCCCGCAGCCGCATTTTCGAGTTTTACAAAGTAACAAAGTATTTATTATTCACTCGCGAAATACGCTGAACGCACGCCGAGCTACTGCAAGAATTCTTTCCACGTTAAGAACCGGAAGGACGGACGTTGCAAGCTTTGAACGTTCGAGGACGCTTCGAGTCAAGTACGGAGAATGGATACTTGCCTCTTCGCGGATTAATGTCATACGTCGTACACTATCTGGCAAGTGCACGTCTCGGGACAGAACGTTCGTTCTTCGTACTATAAATAACGACGTTCAATACGACTCGAGCCTCGAAGTATCCTCGAAAATCTGATTCGAGTTCAACTCGACGATTAACGTTCCCCACGTTCGACGAGTCTTTTGCAGCTACAAAATCAATCGTAATCGATCGATCGCGCGATCGATTACTTCGGGTGCGTCGTAAGTTCTCCACACTTTTCTTTTTTTTTTCTTCTTTTTTTTTTTTATGCCGAAGTACTGGATATGCATGCACTCGAGGAACGCTATTTTCGTTGCAATAAACCGTACGCGCGCGTTCACGGTACAGTTTTCACAGTTTGCAATTTTACGGAAGTAAGATGTCTCGCTCGATATATAAATTATTAATATTTTAAACCCTTTTTTTTTTCTTTTTTTTTTTTGCACAAATGAAATAGAAGCGTTGGGTAACGAGCCGACGCTTCGCTCGCTGTAATTTGACAACATTTAGGGAACAGACGTATTCCGTCAAACGCGATCCAGGCGTCCAATTAATTTATATCGTCAGGTATACAAAATTGCTCTGTTGATCGGTAGAAAGTCGGAACAAAGTCTCGCGGCCGAGCTTTACCGGGAAATGCCTAGCGAACAATTTTACCGCTGAAAGTTCTTGACTAAGTCTTTTGTGAAGTCTTTTTATGCATAAATTATTCATTTTTGGTGCAGTACGATTGCGTGCTCGGGAGTAATCGAAATGTTAGTAGAAATACTATGTGTTTTCTACGCGTATGTGATGTAACAAGACTGTCCGATCGTTCCTGTTCCTCGTGTTCGTTTCCTGTTAAATATAGAACATGCTCGCTTCGAAAGTTTCTCGATCCGTACGATCGTTGCAACGATCGGACGACGAACTATTCGTGAACATGCTGTGCCCTCGTAGCGAGGAATTGTTGTTTTTGTCGTGGAACGTCGCAAAGCATCAAACTTGCAATGGTCGATCCCTGTTATCGAGCTGAATCCTGATCGATGGTCGCGAGATGCGTTATTTGCGCGCGTTTTTTTTCATAATTTTTCGCCGTGCGAGATCCTGGCACGATCGATCGGAATTCCATAAATTGTTTAGATAGATATGTCAACTGTTCTTCGATGTTCCTACCTAATATATATATATACATACATATACTAATTTTTGCACGATTTTGCGAATAAAGTAGTTGATATGGAGATTGAAAATTTAAAAAAATCAAGCGAAAAGAAAAAAAATGATATACGAGGACGCGACAACGAGTTGTTGAATGTTTAGCGTTCGCGCATCGCGATACAAATTCAAACGATAATTCGCCTTATAGTTTGTTTTTCCTCCTGACACGTTGCGAACGGCAATTTCGTGACACGTCTCTCTCTCTCTCTCTCTCTCTCTCTCTTTTTCTCTTTCTCTCTCTTTCTTGCGCGACGGACATGATAACATCGTTGCATCGCACCGATTATGAAAACTTTATTCGTCGCAATGAAACTTGGTGCATTTTTTAAAACGGAAATATAATACTAGGCGACGAGGAGAGAGGGCCGTCTCTAAAGTTTTCCATCCATCGAGATAATTCGGTCGAACGTGCCTTTTTGAAGCTACCGCGATCAACAAATTTAGTATTACAACAGGATACGGTAGCGTTAACTATATATCTCAGGTTCCCACCCGCGTTTTCGACAACAATAATTTGAGAACCGAACAACCGGAAGTATTTGCCAACGACTAATCGATTCGTCGCAACGTTCCAATCGCTCTCGTAGCGTTTACGTATTAACAGAAGAGAGAGAAGAAAAATGAAAAAAAAAAAACATTCCAACGAATAGAACCGAAACGAGTTAAAGGTTAAAGATGAAAGCGGATAAAACGAATTTAATTGAACGTATTTTCGATGTGTCCCGAAGCAACGATAACTCTTGCTAGATTAATCGAGAGACGTGCCCGCCCATCGAGCAACCGTGGCAATTCAACGAATAAAATTAACGAGCAACGTGGTACCGTTGCATATTGCGTTGGGTGTACGAAAAGGAGAAATCGTTTTACGATAACGCAGCATGATATTTTTATACGGTAATCTAATAATTCCGAGAAGCAACGAACATTATCATATCCGATCCAATTGTCGTTTGTTTCGAGGGAAACGTCGAGGAAATCGAAATGTTGTATCGAAGCGAATGAAGAAAAATTTTGTATTGCTATTTTTTAATAAAAAAAATATATATATACAATTATACATAAATATGTACAGGTCGGTAGATTCGTGTCGCTGTCGTACACAGTCGAATTTACAAAGCGTGTTCGAGCATCGGTGTCGGCGTCGGTGTCGGCGTCGCTTCGTACATTTTCATATTTTCAACGTAGAGCTGCGTGTCGCACGCTGGACATTGAAATTCGTTCGTGGCCGTGAAGTGAGCCTTTAAACAATAATAACAAAAGATGTGCTCGCAGCCCGCGTGCGTTGGCAAGATCGGAGAATCGTTGCAGTAGCAGCATTTGGTCGTCGAATCCATGGTGGGGAACGACACCAGAACCGCTGGTCGACTTCTCCGCGGGAAAATCCTTTTTAGCGCGTATTTCAAATAATGAAAGTTGATCAGCGGTAAACCGGTGGTAAATAACTCCATCAAACCGTGCCAAAGAAGTTCCCTGGTCATGTACGAATATCCGATGATTCTTGGCTTGTGGGTGGTCGTGGAATGACTCGCGATACCGAGGAAATATTCGATGATTCGAGGCTGCGTTCCGCGATGCAAGAAGATCAACAGATTGATAAATTCGAGCAGCTTCGCGACGTTCGCGACACGATCGAAGAACGTGTTTAGCGATTGATTCGAGGCGCCGGCCACGATTCTGTCACGCGCGTAAGCTGGCCCGATGGTTAAAATCAAGTACAGAATGGACTTTGTACGATCGATACGCTCGTAATGCAAATTGAGCAGTTGTTGGCCGAAGGTCGATTTTCCGCGACGCAGCGAGAAAAACCAGACGAAAAACTTGAGAAGCGCGTCGATCTCTGGCTGCCACCGATCGACGTTGCCTATCGGTTGATATTCCGTAATTTTTTTCGTTTGGCTTCTCAGCACCTTGTAGATTTCCTCGTCCAGTTGCACGGCGTCGATCTGGTTAACTCGCGATACGTAAGGCGACGCCGGCATTGCTGCTCGTTTACTGGAAAAAAAAGCAATGCGTATCGTTCCGTGAAGCGGCGTTCGAGGTCGTGGGGGATAGAATGCAAGGTTATAATCGACGAGATAACTTACTTTCGTTCTGGAGTTTATTGGATTTCAAGTCCCATCCTGCATGTCCCGTAATCTGCAATCATTTTTATTTTAATAGCGTGTCGTGTCTAGTTCTCGTGTTGCAATACTTTTCTATTCGTTTAATATGGTAGTATTAGTTGCGGAACAAGGATGTTATTATTATTAGTATCGCATTCTGCGCGTACCTCTGTTTGGAAGGTTATATTGCGTGAGATGATCGGTTCGCGGTTCGCCGGAAGTTGAAGAGCATCGATGTCACGATAGTAATCGAAGTCGATTCGTCGAGTGATCGAACACGTCCGGTGTACGTTTGGTTGACCGTCGTGGCTGGCGATAATGGTCAAGCAGCGAACGAAAAAGCGAGGTTAGGAAAACGGTGACGACGACGGCGGCGGCATCGACGAGGCGACGGTCCACGACTTGACACGAGTCGGCACGAGTCGATCCGTCGGCTCGGCTCGGTTTCGAGGACGTCCTCTCTACGAAAGCAGAGGAGGCATCGCGACACGCAACTTCGATTTCGAATATCGGGATTCCCGCAGTGAAGGAATCGCAGTCGCGGGGCGCGCGCGCGCGACTGCCCTCTGTTAGCGTTCCCTCGGAAATCACGTAGAAAAAGGAGCGGATTAGAGTCGCGCAGGGCCGCAGAGAGAAGGAAACAAGAGGAAAAGAGTAGTTCGGTCGGTAGACGGGTGTCGGTCGTTGTCAGTCGTGGCCGGTGGGGATCGCGCAGTGTCGAATACGAGCGAGGCGACCGAGGAATTTTGAGGTTAGCTCGAGGGACAGCTGTCGTAGCGAGCGCGACCGAACTCGAGAGTCTCGAGCCCGCGTCCTATCGCGTTTCGGGCTCCATGTTGCCGCTGGTGGAATGACGTCATCGAGTGTTGGTGCTTCGGCAGTGGGCTCCTTCCTCACCCGTTCTATCAAAGTTCTCCGATCATGTTTTCGTGATAAATTTTGAAGTTGTATTTGGTGCGGCAGACGGTGAACTCGGTGAAGTCGGCGATTCACGGTCGCCGATACGCGCTACCGTGCTCGGCTGCCACGCATCCACTACCATAGGTGAGCGCTAAAAAATTATATAATGTGCTTGTCGTTTTATACCGTGAAACGCGAACCCACGGTCTCACGGACCATCGATCCGCCAACTGACAGGTTAACCTCCGATCCGTCCGTTCGCTTTCCGCCGTCTCTTATCGTTCACCGTCGTCTCGCTGTCTCTCGTTCCTTCCGTTCGCGGAATAGTTGTACGGAGGAGTACGCTTGGCTCTCGAGTTCGCTCCGATTCCTACCGTTTTTTCCCCGCTTTCCCTCGTATCGCCGTGGAAAACCCGATTAATTCGACCGCGTTCTAACCTCTTATGGTGTCCCCGCATCGTGACCACGCATTGCCTTAAACCGCACTACCAGTCGACCGCGTTGCACGCGTTATTTTCGTGTCGGCCACTTGTTCGCGACCACCGATCGCTTCTCTCTCGTCCATCCGTCACACGGAGGACTCTAACCGGCAACGATTCACGTTACGGCGTACCTCGTCAATCTTCGCCGGTCGCGATCGATATCGAAAGCCCTTCTATTTTACTCCCAGTGTCGTTAACCTTTCCATTTGCTCGTCGTCGATCCGCGAAATCGGCCCGTAATCTTCCCGGTTCTTCCGTCCTCGTGGACAGTCGCGGGATCACCGATGCAATCACACGTATCGCGTATGCGTTTCAAAATAAATACAGAATTTTCTTTCGTTCGGCACGCGCCACGTTTCGTCCAGCTTCTCGAAAAATCCGATTCTTTTTACACGGTGCTTGTACATCGTTCGGACAGTCTTGTTCCTCGTAGCTCGAAGGACACCGATTCCCAAACACCGTCCACCGTGTACGCGGTTTCGATGGAAACTGGGCGTGGCGTGCAAAAATTTCGTTGCGTCGTGTATTTTTACAAGCGTTTCCTTCTCCGCGGTTCGTTATTTCGGAGCAGAGAAGCATTCGCGTGGTTCGCGATCGCAGGGGGGAAAATTTGCGCCAACGGATGCAGTGGCACGCTGTAAACTATACAGGGTGTTCTCGAGATGCCAGATCAAATCGTGTGTACATTGCCTGACAAACACGAGCACGAACAGACTTTGCGCGAAAGATCATTTCCAAACGGTTCTCGCAAAGGTGAGAGACTGAATTTATTAAGTAAGGGAATGTTTAAAAAAATATCCACAACCAGAGTGGTGAAACTGTTTCGAAGAATATTTAATTTCATATTCGCGTATATCACGCAGTTCTAATAGAGAATGATTGATTACTTCCGACCCGGAAGCGGAGGTCCGAAACCCCGAAAAGGCACAACTTGGAGACCTTCCGAACGATACCTAAATTGTTCGCTTTACGACACGTGCCCGGGGCGGTACAGCTGTCGCAAAATTCCCCATACACTTCGAAACATGCAGGCTACTAGCAATACAAGTTTACAATGATTTTAGAATCATTTTACGTGGTCCTTGCAGGATGACGAGTCACGTGGCACGATTTAATCGTATCGTTTGCTTGTCTCTCAACGAATGTTTACGAAGCTCACGATGACCTCGTGCTCGTTTATCTAATAGTTTAGAAAAATGATCGTACATTCGTTCCGACTTAAATCAAGATCTGCAGCATGTATATAGACCTAACCCAGATTAAACCGAGTCCATAAAAAGGAAGATTTAATATCGAATTTTGATCGAGCGGGACGTTGTCCCGGACTGTTCCTTCGGCGTATCGATTATCAGGGAATTTGTTTCGCCTTATTTGGTCATTTCTGGGGAGCATGGACAGGAAACAAACGCGATGCGCGTATCGATTGCAATCCTCCGATATCTTGGTTCCTCGTTTGCCGCGCTCTTGGCTCCCGACCTTAATTTATGGGCCGTACCGTGCGGTGCCGTTGACGCGGAAGACTCGTTCGTGCAAGCTTTTCACCGTTGTCGCTTTTCACCCCGGCGGCGTTATTTATCGGCGCGCGTATATCCGTTCGCCGACACTGCTATCCGCGAAACTCGTCTCGCTACGGTATTACGATGCGATTTAGGGTTTCGATAACTCACCGGCTCTTACTCCGTTTCCCGTTACGTGCCTTCTTTTCGCGATCGCGTACGCAAACTTCAAACCTCGCGACTTTGAGCTTTTCTGGGAACGCGTCGCGTTAGGGAGTTTCCCCGTCCGGTTATTTGTCGGTGGCCTTTCATCGGGATGCAAACGGTCGCTCGTGGTGATCGGGGCCCGACCGACAGGCGATTAATTAATATTTCCCGTTTTGGTCGGCTGTCCGGTTTCGCGGATCGAATTCTCGATAGACGGTTTGCATTCTACGTATCATTCGCGAGACGATCGACGACTTTTTCACGGTTTAGAAACCTATTCTTCCTAAACGCTTCTTGCACTTTGGCGAATTTAATGTACAGTTGTGGCAACGACTGGATCGAATCTGCGTTCGGTGGGCTATTTTTGACGCGAGTCATGGATCGTAAATTTACAGCGTTTCTTCGCCTATGACTATATCTGAGGAGACGGAGGTCCCTGTCTCCTTGTACCCGAGTTCTCGTCTTTAATTTACGAGTCCGCTCTATATCCTCCGTAAAACGATCGTCGGCCGTCCGGCCATCGACTGTCTTATCGTTGAACGGCGTTAACGAGATAATAATGGGCGATTGATTTGCGATCGATTCTCGTTAGTAGATATTTATTATTATCGCGAGCGATCCGCTTGAAATTTCGGGCAGCGAGGCGTCGGCACGGAAACATTGTCGCGAGTAAAAGTTCGTTAAAGTAGGCGAATTAAAGGAAACGCGCGCGCACTTTACCGAAAAGCTTGAAAAGTCGAGTGCCACTCCGGCGTATACAAAAAAAAGAAAAAAAGGAAAAACGTAGAAACGCTCGGGAGAACCGGACGATTAATTTGTTCGCTGGCGGTTCAGGTTTCGAGCGTATCGTTGCAACTTGTAATGCAGCCAAAGCCCTTTAAACAATTTCACGCGCTGTTGACTTCCCCCGGGCAGATACTTTTGCAACCGAGTTGCGATATCCAAGGTAGGAAGCGTAAACGATACTCGCAAGTTTTTGTTTGACCGTAGCGTGCTGCCATCTCGCGTATTTCGCGTTCCTCCGTATCGTGACCCCGCGGAACGGGGTCACGTGTACACCTAGCCGCTTCCTGGCGCTTTATCGCGTACGTCGGTTATCAAAACGCGATTCCATCGGTCTCCGGTTAACGAGCGACGGAATCAGCGTGCCCGTCGATCGTCGGTTGGTCCCCGGAGGTTGTCGTTTCCTCGAATCGATCGTAGGTTGCTCGGTCACCGATCGACGAGCTACAAAACGGTGCTTTTCGCGGAAGCGCGCGTAAAATAACGCGGCTTTGGGTTACGAGTTATCGAGAGAACGGTTAGTTCATTCTTGACCGAGAGACGAAACGGTCGGGAAAGTCAAGTTTCGCTCCGGCAGGGTAGGTGGTGGCGCGAGGCGTGGCGAAGTATTGATCGTCGTTGCGATTTCCCTTCCTTTTCCACCCCCGACGAACGTCATCCACCGTTCCGAGCCCTCTCGCTCTCTCGCTCGACCCACCTTCTTCACCCTTCGGGTTGCCCCTCCGCAACCCCTATCGCTGCTACTTTCACCTCCGTACCCACCTTCGCTATTGCCACCGGGATTCACCCTCCGGTCCGGCCACCGAATCTGCGCCTCTGCGCCTCTGCGCCTCTCCTTACCCCCCTATCCTCACCCCCTCCTCTTCTTCCCGTCCACGCGGTCTTTTAACTTCTCGTTTCCTCCTCCTCTTCTCGAAATTCAAATTTAAGACCGCTTTTTCGCGCCCTCTCCACCCACTCACGGTTCCAATCTCCCCAAAAAAAAATTACACTCGAGTTTTTCACCTCGTTGAAAATCCATAGAAGCCACACGGTGTTTCGAAAAACGTGCGATTACGCGTCTAGTTTGCACGACGATATCCACGCCGATTTTAGAAAAGCGTTTGATACCGTGGACCATAACTATTATCGCAAGATATCTTCTTCACTCGGGACTTGTCGCCTAAAAATATTATTAAAATGCTCCGTAAACGGTAAACGGCGTTCTAAGATGACCTAAATGTCTCCGATAGAATTTCCACTATCTACGGTCAGACCTTCGCTCGAAGCCTAGATTTCTTTGGAGGATTTATTGTTTCGTTCTAATTCTAAGCAAGAAGTGCGCGTAACTCTCGACCACACATCGCACGTATCCCTCGCGTTAAGCACGGTATTACTCGCGCGTGTGCAAAGGGTTTCCGCGTCTATAAATAACCGCATAAACTTGTTTAACGCCCAATACTGTTTCTCTTTGGCGGAACCGTCGCGTCTCTGTATCGGTCGATATCGCCACGCTTGTACGTTGGCCACGAAATTGTCAGCGTTTCCGCGTTTCTGCACGCATTCGCGATTCGGTATCGGGTTCGTAAAAATTTTTTCCCCCCAGTCGAAACAACGCGTACGCGTCGTTTTTACGACTCGAAAATCGATCTCCCTCCGCCGATTCGAAATCGAATACCCGCAGTTCGTCGGCTCGGGTTAAAGTGTTTGGTAGCTTCGACGCCTGAAATTTTCACGAGGCTCGGTAGGGGAAGTTCCAACAGTATCGAATGTTGTAACCGTGCGTCGACGACGAAACCACGAGTTTCTGCAAAATCGTGCATCCGGCTGCTCGCAGCTTCGATAACGAGTTTTCTCGCAGACGTCTGGTTTAATTAGCCCAGGGCGACTCTTTTGTGTTCTTGCGGACTTTCTGTCCGCGCTTCCTTTTTTCGATCGGTCTTCGTCCTCCGCCGGAAATTAAATACTTCCAGACGACCGCGCTCGTTTGCGTCTTCCCGGCTGACGAAGGTAATCCCGAAGAAAGGTCGACGTTTACGCGCCCTAATAATACGACCTGCACAATAGGGCCGCGTCAACCGTAAAAAATGAGACAAAGTTCAGGTGCTGCGCGCAAACTGCTGATTCGATAGCGGTGCCCGGCAAATATGGCCGACTAGTCCCGGTGTAGGTCAATGCAGTCCTTTTCGATACACCGTGTATACGGGATCGACAAATTTTCTATACGATCCCGTTAACGTTTCCTCGATATTTCACCGTTAGAGAAACCAATGACTCACTCGACGCCAATTACGCGGCCGGCGGTTTCGAATATCTTTAAAGGAAGAGGAAAACGCGAAGAGGGAAAACGACCGAAAATCGAAAACCGCGAGAGATCTTGGAGCTCGGCTAATTGACACCCGACTAGCTTATTACGTTTTTCCTACCAACCTCCGCCATTAAATTAAGTTTCGTCCCGGGGACGGTGATTTATGTGTGCTCGAAAGAAACTAACGAAGAAATGGGTTCTCGCGATAGGGAGTCATCAGCGTATCAAACTCGATAATTTTTCACCCTGATTGCGTGAGATCGAACCTTTACATTCGTATGGAACAGTCTTCGAGGAAGTTCGAATATCGTTGAAACGTGGAGAACGCGTGCAGTTGTTTTCCACTGGAAAGGAAATTTAATTTCCATCGTAGCTTCGGCTCTGAACGGTCTGCTTTCCGATGGCCACGCGTTCGCGTCTCTTTGGGAATCTTCATCGCGAGCAGTAGCACCGACCATTGCGCATTATTGCTTCCGGCGGAAGAGTCGAGTTCGGCCCGGCCAGAATGTCTAATTAAACTTTTCCCTCGCGCCCGGTAAACAGCGACAGCTTGCGCGAGTTTGGTCGTAGTAATTTGCACTTGGCCGAAATAGAATGCAAATAACGTTCGGTGCTTGTTAAATTATCGCAAGACACGGTTAAGCTTGTTTATCGATTCTTTAGCCCGGTGGTCTAGCATTGTTCTTGCTAAGGATTCGTTCGAGGATCCTCCAATCTGTCTGCAATTATTTTCATTTCACAATCGAACGAAATTACGAGCTGCGATGAAAGATCGATCGTTCGATGGTTAAGGAGATACGTAATCTTTTAAGAAAGTTTTTTCACTCGCGAAAATCTTGAAAGAAATCTGATTCGCGGCGCGAAGCATATACGCCGTGAAGTTTCGCGTATTAAATTTGCCAGTAGCTGGCACGATCCACACTTTGTCGCGTTACCGCTTCGAGATTCCGCCCACGATTCCCATAAAAATTTCACGCCCGCTACCTTGGAGAGATTTCGCGTTTCTTTCTATATATTCCATCTTCTAGTTTTTACGGAACACCTCTTCCGGCCTCCAATCTTTACGGGACCACCTTTAAGGGACAAAAAAAGTTGATCGAAGGTATAGTTTTCGTGGTTTGACAGGTTGCAAACGACGTCTCTCTTCGACGTTTTATTATTATTCATAACGACAGAGCTGTTCAGCGAAATTTGCCGGTTTACGAGGCGAGTTCGCGTTGCTCGGTGCAACGTGTGATCGGAATTGCTAATACGCGAACCTCGTCCCATTGGAAATTCCCGGTGCGTGTTTCTATCGTGCGGGAAACTTGAACGATACGCGCCGCGAGTTTTCCCCGGAAAAACTCTTCACGCGTTCCCCTTAAAATGTAGTCGAACGAGGCCGGAAAGGGAAGTCGACGAACAGATTTTGGACGGCCGTTAACCGATACTCCGTCGCCACGGAAGCAACCGGCGATCCTTCTTCCTGATCTTTAGGTAATCGCGTAAATTTTATCACCATCGATCCTTTTTTTCCGCTTTACCGAGCCGGGTTCGCTCGGGTTCTCGGACAGGAAATTAACTGCTGCTTCCTTCCGCCTACTCTTTCGAACTTACGCTCTTCCTCCCTCCCTCCCGAGTGTCGTTTACCGAGCCGCGGGTACGACGATTGTCCGAATCGCTGCTGCATCTGTCGCTCCTCGTTCCCGATTGGCTTTGTAAACCGTACCGGACACGGATTAAACTCGATCGATCCATAAAAGTCGGTAAAACGGACGGGCGTCGGGGGTTAAAAGTAAAGAGGAGCGAAATACCCGGGTCCCGGCTCGTTCGTCTTCCGCTTTTACACACCAAAGAAGCCCTTGGAGATTTTCCAGGCTCCGTTTTCTGTCGCCCTGACTCGTCGGCCCCTGACATTCTTCTCATTTATTCATTACGTATCGCCGAGAAACGCGAAACGTACCCCGATAAAGATTGCACTCGACCGACTAAAGGACCCAAACGTTTCTCATCTTGGTCACTCGGTTCTGAAACATAATCGGTCGAGATCGAGTCGCATCGAATAATAATTTAGCTCCCACCCAATTCGACAGTTTCGACGAGCCATTCTTTTCGAAACGGTTAAAAAGCCAATCGCGAGAAGTGCGCAGCCTGTTTGCGGATTTTGGCGTGTCACGGTCCATGGTCAGGGATTATTCGTATTTAAATATCGCTATTTCCGTGGCTATCGGCCCGCCGTGCTTTTTCAGCGATCGCTAGCCCCCGGTTCCACGGGATTTTTTGCCGCGGTTTCGTTGCTCTTATTTTTCCGTGTCGCGGGTACGATCGCATGCAAAAATTCTGCCTCGCGATTCTAATCGATTCTCGCCGTTTGTACAGCGTTGTCTTGTGGCGACGGAAGAACCGATCAAAACTTATCGAGAATAACGTTTAATTTAACAATGACAGCGCGCGAAGATCGAACCATCGGGGGAGCATCTGTTTTTCCAAACGAGGGGCCGTAGGTTTTCGAAACAGGTCTCGAATATAAATTCCCGTTTCGTCGTTCGCCGTAGGCGACGAAACTGCTCCGTGGAATTGTCTTCTGGTATATGTGTACACTTTACTTTATCGGTCGATGCGTCGTAACGTTCTCGCCCCGCCTCGTGCGTGTACGAGCTTAAAGAAGAGCGGCGGTGTGTTGGGGCGAGCACTCGGGAGTAACAGAAGAGCCCTTGACGCGCACCAATCTAAATAATTATTGTGAACCGGATAGTTCGTACGAAAGGGTGCGTTCCTCGTCTCGAATTCGCGATCGTATAATACGCGTCTTCGTCTTTTCTAAGTTCTTTTTTTTTGCGTTCTTTGCACGTTTGTGAACGCTCGTACGTTATCGCGAGGTCTTAATCTCGAGACGCTGTATAATGAACTCGCCGGGAAGCACCGGAGGAAATCATCCGTGCTGTCAGCCTCCCTTAATCGCGTCGTCTTATCGGCACGCCACCGACGTCGTTTACCCGCTAAATCTATACGCGCTGGATGATGTTCAGAGTCTCGAGACACGACGTCGGGTGCACTTTGACTCTGTGCGCCCTCGGTTACAAGTTCGGCCAGCTTGAAGCAACTCGGACCGCAGGAATCAACATTTCACGAGAAGGTTACGATTCGCGGAGCCAAAGATTCCCTTTGAACGGTCGCGGCACGACCAGCGAAAATTTCCACGGTTCCATTAATTCTGCAAGCAATTTATCGTGTTGAATTCATGTTATTTCAATTGTTCGGGACGGGGAACCGTGTCAGGCTTTTTGTCTCCAAATTGTGTCGCGGGTCTAAAGAGACGGAGAATCGTCTTTTAAACTGTGCCATAACGGTAAAAAGGTTAAGAACCTGTGCCCCGGCGAGGCGCTGCTCAACCTTTTTGTTCGCGCAAGCTCTACGCTTGCATTTGGTCGACCTCGCGATCTATAAACTGCAAAGTACAAAATTAGAATGAGAGAAACTGACTAGATTTATTCCGGATAGAAACGGTCGATAGGTGTGAGATTCCGTGGAAATATTGGGTGGATTTCTCGGGGGTGGGGACGTCTGTTTCAATTAGAGGATGCATCGGGAGAAGGGCACCGGTGAGACTGTACGTGGAAAGGACTCTCTCGAACCACTTGTCTCCCCATGGAGTAGCTCGTCGGAACCCCCCTGTAACGACCGAAGAAAACCGCGCTCACGAAAACAACATCCCCCGTCTCTCTGTGGGGGATGCACCCGTGGGGACACACGGGGTTTTGAAACGCGGGGGTAAATCCTGCCAGTCAGGAAACAAACGGGAGTCTTCGCTCGATATACGTCTACTCGATGGAAGGGCGATGACGGGCCCGAGTACCCTTCTTCGTTTTTCTCCGTAGCGTAACCAAAGCATCCCCCTTCCATTTTTATCCTTACTCGTGGCCACAATTATGTGATTTCAGCGCCCGTGCGCCTCGAGTGTCTCGTTAATTATATTGTTTCGCCTTGGCTTTTTCATTGCAGAGATCAGCGGCGAGGGACATGGAACTGTTCGTGGCTTCCTGAATCGGTGAGTGCTCCTAACCCCTTTTTTTTTAATCTCAGCAAATCGCTGGCTCGTTAAACCAGACGCGCGATTTCGATTTCGATTGTACTTTTACCCCTTTTGTATAACATTCTCGAGCAAAGTTCCGCTTCCGTTACGATTATTCCTCGTTTACAGGGAAATTACACGTTGTCGCGACGCTCCGAAGCACGCGTCATCGTGATTAATTAAAACGTCCGCCCAGTGTATCGTGGTCTAATTAACGAAGCATGTGCGAAACTCGATAGCAATTATTGACTTTCGGAAAATCCCGCCTTTTCCGGCTGATCGGTCGACGGTTCCGGGGATGAAAATAAAATGGACGCCCGGCGGGGGAAAAAATGGAGCGAAGACGAGACCGCGTCTAGTTCGAAGAAAATTTCTTGGCGGGTTTCCTGCGTGACGCGCATGCGTACGACCGATGTTTCCCGCTAATCGTGGCAAAATGTATCGTAACGAGTATGGATCATTAGCCGGGGGTTTCTTTGATAGCGAGGTCGAGTCGCGCAAGCGCGAGCACAACACTCGGTGTTGTAAACGTAATGGGGATGGTTATGGATTTTCGGGCTCTGCGACCTTCGCGTGTCGCATCCCACGCTTTTCTCGCTCCGGACATCGTCCTTTGTACGTTTTCCGTACACCGGCAAACGGAATTATTTATTCGTGCATCGACGATCACCGATCAGCTGGCAAATATGTACTCTTCGTTGGTGGAATCGAGTCTAGTCTCTAATGAAAATTTCAGGTACGAGTCCCATTCACGAAGAAAGTACAAATCGAACACCCTCGAAGCCAGAGAATTCTTGACGATGTAAAATATAGCGGTGAAGATAATTTACATTTCACGGCGAAGTCATCTTCGAAAGTGGTCCGTGACTTACTTGGTTAAACGTAAACGGACGTATTCTCTTTCGAGAGAAATGATTCGATTGGAAATGGAATGGTAGGCCTCCATAGCGGTACGACGCGACGGTATCTCCATGATTTGATTCGCGCGCTCGCTTCCTTCCGCGTACTCATTTCGCGAACAATCTCGGACGGGGCGATAAATACGTTCATATTTTATAAAGGAGAGAAGCAGCTCGGCTTTAATATCCGCGTTTCATCGCGTGACCGAGTACAATCGTTCTACGAGAAGTAACGGGCATTCCCGGCGGGAAATGTCGCTGACTTTCGAGCTACCTTCGGTTCGATGGAAGCTGCTGTTTAATCAGCCTCGTTATCCCTTTCACGAATTCCTTCCAAAGAATCGTTACCACTCTCTGGCAATAGAAATTGTTCGCGCTGGGGAATTGGAATAAAAGTTACCACCGTGTAACTTAAGGGAAATCTGAGAAAGCACATTGTCATGCTAAATTCCCGTTAGAAGGAGTCAGCATCTCAGGTACGGCAATAAAACGTCCAAAGGCAAAAATGGCCTTCGACGGCTCGAAGAACTGCCCGCATCTGTCTACCTGCCGTTTGGAATTTGAAATTTTTTGGAAGCGGGCGAAAGAGATATTCCTTGGTCAATAGTTTCTTTCGTGAACCCTCGGAGAAGGTTCCCGGTTCGTTTCTTGGAGTCTCGGGTAATAAGTGATCGAAGCTCCGCGACTCGAGGGTCATCGTGCCCCGATTTGTTGAAATCGAAGGTAACGCGAATCGATACGAGGTCCTTGAAACCGGTCGTCGCTTTCGACCGCGAGCAACGAAGGGGATGAAGAGGAAAGTGGTGGATTTACGGCGGTGGCTCGGTGGATGTAGACGCGAGGAAAGGTGGCGACGAGAGTGTGTATTCGGTGGATTAGTGGCCGTGCACGACAGGTGAAAATTATCGTGCAAGCACCCTTTCGAAATCGGTACCTAGAAATTTATTTGGTTCCCATCGTTTACGAAATGTACCGGGCGAGAACAGACGGAGAAACGGAGACGATTAGGGTTTCGTTGGCGACGCGGAGCGTGGATATGGGTGCGGAGATATGCGAGTCGGTTGGTCTGATCGCAACCGCGGCTCGATCACTGCCGACAATGGCGTAGCGAACGCGTTCGGTGTAATTGCGGCCACGTGTCTATACGTTGTAGCGTTGTAAGTGCATAGGCACGACACGACTAGTTTCGTGATTACGCTGATACCGACTGCGTATATCTATAACTGGCGGCTAGGTAGGTTGGTAGGTAGGTAGGTTGGTAGGTAGATAGGTAGGTAGGTAGGTAGGTAGGAGTAGCAGCCGAGGATAATCTCGTGGTAGCTAGGCTGCGGTACTCTGCGGTACTGGATGCCGCCATCTTGCTTTATCGATTTCAACCCCCTACTCCGAACTTCCACTCTCGGGCCGGCGATTCCCTCGTGTTTCTTTTCTTCCTTCTCTCCCCTTTTACTTGTTCGCGTTTTCTTCCCTTCTCGGTCTGCTTTATCAAAGACGATTGCTGTCGTTTCCTCGTGCACGGTGTTTTTTCAAAGGCTCGAAACTTTGCAGGCTAGTGGAGCTCGCCGAGCCGCGGAAAAAAATGGTTGCTCGATGTAGGCTCGCGGATCAATCCTCTCTCTCGAAACTACTAAATTAAGTAATTATTTTACGCGCGCTGAAAGAGTTGCGATTACGGTTCGGGCGGGCCAACAATCGATCGGGCGCGAAATTTCATTATAATCGTTGAGAATTCCTTTTATAAATTCCAACGTTAATCTGGCGTGCGTCGAGCGCTCGGATCGACGGACAGAGCATGCCACTGGACGGAGTGGGTAATTAGCGCGACGATTCGTTATACCTCGAAATTCACTGGATCGTGCACGCGTCAGATTTCGCTGGAAAACAATATTTCGAATTAACGTTCGACCGACTTATCGTCGGATTTGACACGCGTCGAAAGAGTGGCTCGAAGCGCGCAAAGTTGGAGCGAAATCCACGGCAACGGAATCGCTCGATCGTGATTAAGTTTACAGGAGGATCGAACGGCGAGATAATCGAAAAGTCCGCGATCTCTATAGTTTGGTCTCGTTCTCTTACTGGCAAGTTTATCGAATTTTATCGCGCGACAATTAACTGCAAACGAGTACCAATGGCGGAGGGTGTAGACGAGTAAGAATCGGGGTTGAAGCCGCCACGAGGGAGTGTTTATTAATTAATGAAGCGCGCGATGCATGACTTGAATCGCAAATAACTCGCCCACGTCCCTCCAATAACGACAAGATCCATCGCCACGCAACCGGGGACAAAAAATGAGAATTTTCGAATCAGGAAATTATAAATTACATTCCAAGATCTTCGTTAATTCTTCCGTTTCGTAGGTGTTCGCGGAGCGAGCGATCCCTCCAAAAAACTATGTAACTCGGGGAAGAAAGAACTCAGACATTCGCGTAATGTCTATAAGAGTTCTTTTTAGAATTGCTCGTTTCACGAACACTTTTTACTTTCGCTGTGCACGGGGCGTTGCAGACATTCGTTTTAATTCCGGCTTGAAAATGGAGAGAGGACAGAAACCGAGGTTCTTGCTTGGTAAATGCAGCATAAATTGAGCTCGACCGGAGTCCGCGTTTCCCTCGGTAAGCTTCTTAGTGTTGGTCCAGCGCGATTCGGGTGTGGCCGCGGGTTTTCGGTCGCAGTGGTTTCGGGTTTTCGAACGAAGGGTTGAAACATCGTTTCGAGCTTAGACAACGGTTATCTATCGCGGCAATTTCAACAGAATTAAGCCGTCTTCTACCCAATCTGGTCCGCTTTCGTTTCAGTTTGTTTAGCTTTTCTATCGAAAATCGTGAAAATATCGAGGTTTGTGCATCCCTCTCGAAGCAGGGATTTTCACCCATCGTTTTCATGCTTCATCGACACGCGTTTCTTGCGCAGACAATCGGCCGTCGGGCGTTCCTTTATGCCTCGGTACGTAGAAATTGCCAGCAGGGAGCACGAGAAATCGGATACACGCGAGTCTCGAAACGTTCTCTCGGGGAGAAGAGGTCTCGTCTCTATTTGCTCAACCGTCCGCGACGAAGATTTTGAAAGCTCTTCTGAAGCGTGCGCGAGAATGTCGATTCTGCGGTAGTCGCGGTTAGATCGGTAAGACTCGTAAACGAGCAAACAGAGAACTCGCGACAGAGAGCCGCCGTATTCCTGGCGTTCCATGGCAACTGGGAGAATAACGCGTGTCGACGCCAGGGATCGTTAGCGACGGTATGCAGCCGCAATAAGAAACAGTATCTTCCTCGAAACGTTATTTGGAAGTACCGCCAGTAGCCCTCGTCTATAATAACCGGCAGGTAGCCTTAATAAACGTCCGCGAAGCATTCTAACGAACGCGCGCTGATTGAAGTGGCCGGTGATTTCGGTTGCCCGTGCTGCGGACTAAATTGCAATTGCACCGCTGCCCGCTTTGATGCAACCGAATGCTCGATCGAACCTACGGCAGTGAACATTGTATGTTTATTGTCAGCCGTACGTCTTCTCGTATCGCGGCAGTTCCGTACTTAATCCGTACCACCCGATGGCGAGTTTCGGATTATCCGCGTTCGCCGCACAGTGGGCCATTTTATAAAAATATCCCCACGTTGAAAGGCGATAAGCCACCCGCGCGGGATCTCGCATCATTGTCAAAATATTTCATTTTTACGTGTTTTATCTTTCGAAAAAACAACCGAGGGCAACCAAAATGTAAACTGTTTTCGTTGGGCGAATCTCGTCGATTCATTGTCGACGCTTTCACCAACCATAAATACACGCGTTTCAGTTTTCATGGGATCAAAGCATAATCGAGAGTTTCGAATTTTCCAAATCTATCTTGCGTAATTAGTTTATGGTTAACTCGTTATATCCAATATTTAGGACGCAGCTCGAAGATACGACGCCTCGAAGTTGCCGATTTTATGAGACGAACTTTTTCGATCAAACTTGTATAACAACTTTGTGGTTTATTTCCGGACTATCGCGCTTATCTATTAAAGTTGGCAGGGTGTAATGTATCACGATATTATGTTTACATTGATTTTATTAATCCCAAAGAAACTTTCCAATGCTGAA